TCAAACAATTTAAAGAAATATTAACATACAGCGAAAATGACATATTTTCAATGGGACTTGAGTGGACTCGAGAATAAGTCCGAGTCCTAATATGTTCGAGTAAAAGTCAATTCCGAGTCAAAATGCACACGAGTCCATGACAAGACCGAGACCATTAAAATATGGACTCGAGACCGAGTCTCGAGTACACAACACTGAATTTACTAATACATTTTTAAAACCAAAAGTTGTATTAGTTAACATTATTAATGCACTGTAAACGAACAATGAAATAGCCCACTGTATTGTATAAAGATTAACAAAGATTAATAAATGCATGCAACAAATGTATTGCTCATGATTAGTTGATGCTAGTTAATACATTAACTAAAGTCAACAAATGAGACCTTATAGTGTTAACGCTATCCCTTTAAAGAGGGATCAACCTCAAAATGGAAAAGAACGTTCCAGACTTGAACCAGTGAAAAGAAATCTGGTCTGTGGCATCTTTATGAGAGGAAGCATGGGCCTACTGTATGAAGACTAAATATGTCGGGACAACTACAAAGCCAACTCGGTGAACAGAGCCCACATTGTGCTCTGGGAAACGTAGTTCTCACCCTCTTCTCCCCAGGAAATTACCCGTTTTGTGGCTTTTGGGACTTGGGATTTTAAATGTCGTGGTCCGCCCGCCAGAAACCATAGGAAAAAATTGTTTGTGTGTGTAATTAAAGCCATATACAACAATTAGAATACATTAGCTAATATTGCCAGAGAGTAGTATGACTAACTAGACATGTTATCAAGAAAACTTAAGTGGATCTTGCCTGTGGAAAGGTCTGACTAGATCAGAACAGGAAGCAAGATCCTTCTAGATCTTTGTCCTTATTTCTGTTTTTCTATTTACTTTTCACTTTATTACCATCTGGTGTATACTATTCAAGTATTTTTGGCCGGGCAGATCCTTCTCTCACTCTCTTTTCTAAGTAGCAGTGTGACTCAGTCAAACATTGATGATGAAATTGGTGCGGGTCCACAGGGGTCCAAGTTCTGGCAAGAACGGAAGAGAAAAAGAGCCAGAAACACGGAAACTTCCCCTGCAGCCAGAAGAGCAGAAAACATTCAGACAACAGTGTGAAAACAGATACAGACCAACACGAAAACATCCGCACCTAGTGACCAGCGCTGGACGAGAGACCCCATAACTCTGCTTAGGCTTCACTTGTTTGTTTAGGATAAGTCGACCGTTCAAACTTAGAGATTTAGGACAGGTAGCTGGACGACGTGCTAATGTCTGTTCTACATTGTCCCCAAAAAAGCTTTAGGCCGATGTCCCCCCTCACCAATAGACAAAGTCATAAAATGTCACAAATGACCATCTACAGGAGCAAATTTTCAGTCTCTAATTTTCTTATAAACCACATAATATGAGCTATTTTGTGTGCTATACTAAGTGTTTACAAACAAAATAACATTGCTAGCTAGCTAGCTATCAAAGTCCCTTTCAAGGAAAGTCTGTTCACATGGCGGCCATATTTGCAATGCCTCCGGGCAGCTATACTGGGGCTGCGTTCCAGTCCAAAATTGTCATGCCCTTCACTCGCTAACTTCCCTCCGTCTCGTTCACTTGATAGTACGTCATTACTTGCGTTGCATGAGTGCACACTACTGGCGGAAACTGCAATAGGCTGAATTGGAACATGCTAAGCCCTTGATCACTTAGAATCCACTGTGGTGTTGATTTTTTATTAATTTTTTCCCTTCCCAAAATTGTTTAATGCAGCATTCTATATGTATATAGATCCGTTTGAGTTGTTTACATGTACCTTTTTATCAATATATATAACAGAGTTGTTTGTGGTGGGGTAAATTAGATGCAATATGCGTTGACGCCACAGTCGCGTTGCATTGTGGTACATGGAGCTGCCTGAAGTGTACATATGGAGTAGACTCACTCCCTCTATTTTGACCAAGGGAGTGAGTCTACTTTATTTGTACATCTACTTTAATCGTGTCTGTCCATATAGACTCCCCTCGTCCACTTCACGAAGGGATTTCCCAGAGGGGAAGTTCGCAAGTGTAGTCTTAAAAGTGGACTGGAACGCAACCTTGGTACCCAAGACCAAGTCCTTTCGACTTGAACGGGGAATCCTGAAATCTCAAAAATTGCTTGGCGAATTCGCAATTAAATACTCAAAAATGCTCAAATAGAGTTATCTTTTCAGCCTAGACCAGCGAACCGGCGCTTCTAAAGTGACGCAATTGGGATTGGCTCTTTTAATTGTAAGGCGGGGCTTATTTCGCCAGATTGTGTATCTATAGTCGCTATTCAGAAGTTGAATCAGCCGATCAGAACACTTTTGATGTTTAAAATTAAGCTATATGGAATGAAATGTGACCAATGAGATTCCACGATGGGTGAGATTAACCAGCATGGCTTCTTAAAGGGATAGTTCACTTTGAAATGAATTTTTGATATGTTTTATCTTACCTCAAGGGCATCCAAGACGTAGGTGTCTTTGTTTCCACAGTATTTTCAATTTTGATATTTTTCGGTGTTGTCGGTCAGTCATATAATGCAGGTTTAGGGGGTCCACCTCAAAGAGCATGCACAGAGAAGTCAAAATTAAACATGATTTAATGACTCGTGAATGTAAGTACACACTAATGGCATAAGACACGAAACAAGTGGTTTGTGTGAGAAAACGAACAGTATTTATATAGTTTTTACCTCTTGTTAACAGCTGTGTCGAACTGATCTGAATCAGAAGTCCAACTGAACCGAACTGAACCGTGTCCAACGTTACGCCGGAAGTGATCTCTCGCGCATCTACATCACACATTGTTTACACGGAGATTTCAGAAGTTTTACCTTTCACTAAACATATTTAGATATACGGGAAATCACAATGGAAGACACTCATGGCAATATGTTTTTGAACACTGAACAGCATATTAGCATACTATTTCTGCCACATAAAAGATATATTCTAGTATGCTATTTCAAATGAGTCTGTACACCCTTCAACCTCCAAAGCCTTCATTGTGGAGCCTTAAAAGGGAACAGAATAGGGATGATCACTCCTGAATGGAATGCAGTTATGGTCCCCTCAGTAGTGCTCACTGTGATCAGATGACCAAACAAAAAAATATCTTGGAAATGTCAACAGGAAAAATCTGCAAACTATTTTACTCATGTAATGTGATATTTCTTCTTTTTTTTTGGAAGTACAAATGTTTTTCCATCAGGAACTGATTAGATGGTTAAAAGTGTCCCTTTACGGCAGGTAGTTGGAGGGGAGGGGCCAAAAAAATAAGAGTGATTGATGATGTCAGCTGAAAATAAAGGTTTTTCCAGCAGTGGGGCAAGTTGTTACACTTGAAAGATGACACGTTTTCTTTGTAATAACTGTATTAGGAAAGTAGATAGAGTCAATGTTTTTCACTTTCACAACGACAGCTCTCTCCATCACTGAAAATCTCATCTTAAACAATAATAAGTCAGCTAATTTCACACACGTGTTTCGCTTGCACATCCAGCCACATTGAGGATAAGTTCTCACCCGGTGAGTCATGCAAAGATGACGAAAGCGTTCTGGCTGCCGCAGCGTTGTGTGACCCACGTTTGTGGCTTTATGAAGGAGACAGAGAACAGATTGTCTTGTCAGAGGTTCGTTTTTCGAGCAATGTTTGGTTTAAGTGCTACATTGTGATGAAACTCAACATGATAGATGGAGTTCGCTGTAGCGGCTGCAGTGCTGACTCATACTACGGAGAATGTGGAGGGGTCACTGCAAGCAGGAGGAGAGGAGGAGGAGGAGGAGGATGTCGGGGCCCCAGAGGGCCACAGGGACCCAACATCTGGAGAGCCAGTTCAATCTATAGCGACATCTCAGTGCTTCTCATTGTGATGTCGCTATAGACACCACAATGAGAAGCAATGTGAAACATGAGCCGGATCTGGAAGTGAAAGCTTTGAAAGATTAAATCCAGTGTGACAGTAAATAAATACAAGAGATACTTGAAGAGGTTTAGAAAGAAACAGGAATCCAGCGTCTGTCTGGGCCCGCAAATCTCAAAAACAGACTTGGCCTTGTAAAACTCACACATACATGTCTGCTTCAGTCATTAGCTAAAGGAAAAAAGCTGGAGGGAAAGATTGGTGGAAAAGGTGCATTAGTTACTTCGAACCTCACCTAAACTCTTCTAGACAACATTGCACCATATTAAAGAAGTTATTTTAACAATGAGGTACAAGAGGCTGTGGCATATTGTGAATAAGACATCAAGGTTTGGCTCGATGGCAGAACTGATCATTTAAGGAACCAAAAGAATTCAAATTTCAAATTTCTGACCTCGAGTAAGACAAAACGACAATTTCACAAAATATTCATGTCTTACTGCCTTTATAAAAGTCAATGCAAAATAAGAACATGCAAATGCATGTTGTACTTCTGATATAAGATCTATACCCGACACATAATCTTCTAGTGCTGTGCAGTGATATAGCCTACACTACATGTTTTGCAACATCGTATTGACCAACTAGCATTCAAGTCGGAATGATCCATTTTATAATACAATTTGTGCTGTATAAATCAAAAGCCTGCAACTGTAACACTTCTATCACACTTATTAAACTCCTCTGTGATGGAGTGTGACTGCCACCTAGTGGACACTGTACTCATACACATTTTTAGATCTGGTATTTATGCATATATAAACTAGTCTTTGGGAAAAAGGATTGATCTTGGTACATCATAATAAAGATTCGGACTACTTCAAACAATAATACGCCTCCAATCTAATCTTCTGTGACTTTCCAAGACAGGCAACTGAACTGTTAAGGACAGAAGGAAAACTTGTTTTTATCTATTCAATATAAATATACAATAATATTAATAATAATAATAATAATAATTATTATTATTATTAATCAAAATATTATTTGATTAAATAATAAAAATAAGTCAATACAGAAAATATTACGAAATGATATTGCACTGTAAAATAAAAACAAGTTTTTATGAATAATAATGATTTTATTTAAAGAACAAGAGTAAAATTATAATACAAATATTTATGGATGTCTTTCTTTGCTTTCAAAATCAGAGCTTTTATTTTGCCGAGACCTTAAATGAAGTGCTGTCATTACTACAGTATCCACGCATGAAATAAAAGCATTTCAAATTCATCAAAACCAGCATTTTTTCCCCCTTGGATTCACGCCAGTCAGGTCTCACAGCGAAAAATATGGAAATCTATATAAATGCGTTAAAATCACATCCCTGCTTAATAGTATTTATATAGCATGCACAGTATGGTCGATACCATATGCATGGAATACCCCATATTTGTCATTTAGCCGGTGCATCACAGAATGCAATACACTTTAATTTCTAGTGTGGTAGATAAAGCACTGGATTTACACAAAATTGAATTAAGTGTAAAACAACTGTTATGAGAATAAGAATAAAAACACCAAAACATAGAATACTGCTGTTAATATAATGCATATGGTTTGACATCATAAAGTATGATACGAAGTAAACAATACTCTACTCCAACTAGCGTATTTTTAATCATTTCCAGCACAGAATCAGAAGGCTATGGTGTTTGTGGTTAATATTTTTCCATTGAAGCAAATCATTTTGAAGAAAGCATTTGTGTGCAGATGAATCGTGCACAATAAGACATTGACTTCTATTTAAATACCACGCGTTTTGTTTATGTCTGCTTTGAAGAATGTCTTTGAAAGTATACATAAATTACTAAAAAATACAGTGAACCGAAAGTTTATTTGTTTTCTTAATGGTGCAGCATTAAAAAAAGGCATATATATATATATATATTACACAAATCTTTATTTACAAAACAAGGTATTTATGTTTTGAACATATAAACATATTTACAAGAGCACATGCAGATATGCGCAACCATCTACTCTAGTGTTTAAAGAGGACGTGACGTCACACGTCTGCATGTTCACCTTCTTTGTGTTGGGATGACTTTATTCCCGCTGGTGGCCACCGGGATGAGAAGTTTCCGATACTCGAGCGGAAGATATTTCTCTATCAGTATATTCACAGGCGTACCATCCGTCACAAAGCCCTGTCTGATAAAAACAAAACAGCCAATATGACTCCAAGGGGGGAAAGGCTGCAAAAGTGTACAAAAACTAGTTCTATTGACCTATTATGCCCCTTTTCAAAGTCTTGATTTTGTTTTTGGGGTCTACTAAAATAGGTTTTCTTTTTTTTTCTTTTTTTATTCAACAATTGCACAGTTTACAAGAATATTCCTCTCCATTATAAAAGAAAATACATTGTGCAGTTTCCAATATTGCAGGTTAAAATAGGTTTTCATGCTTGAATGTCAACGGTTTTGAGCGTGTTAAAAAATGCCACGCCCCTTACCATAACCGTGCGTTTCAACACTACAAGCTAACTCAACCAGACCCCGCCTCGTTTTTTGCATGGACTGGGTGGGAATTATTGAAATTAGGAATATTGTGACGTGTTGTTCCCTAAAGAAACTCAAGACTACAATGGAGGTGTTTCAGGGAGTTCAGAAACAATGACACTGATGTAGAGAATAACTCCCGCTGGAGGGACTTTGTAACTTGACCTTTTTCATGCTCAAACAGCAACATTACACTCTAAAGAGAGGTGAAAATGTAAAAAAAGCACAATCCTTTAATGTTTACCTTCTCATGAGGAGCTCAAAATCTTCAATCTCAATAGTTTTACGTTTGGCATGTGTAGCGTACACTTCCAGATCATCTGCTAGCCGTTCAAAGTACTTCTTAAGACTGAGGAATAAAGACAGAAACATTGAAGGAGACGTAACTTCAAATGTTCATTCTGCATAATTTAAATAACCTTTCCCTGAGCACTTACAATTCATTAACGACAGGGTAGACGTCACTGGCCACTTTGGTCTTGGCGAAATGCTTGAATACGCTCATGATGTAACTCTTGGGAAGAACATCAACTCCCGCCTGACGCTTCTTCCTGGGGGCTCGTTTGGTGACCTGAGGGGGACTGAGATAAATGGCTTTTAAACCTGCATTAGGATACACTATAAAACAGACAAAGGGAAGAGGACTGTTGTTGGTACATACCCAGCATTCACTTCTTTAAGGACTGTGGGCATGGCCTGCACACTAGGACTTGCGAACACTCTCTTCTGTCTTACGAAAGCAGGAGTTTTCATGGACAGTTCTGAAATAAAGGAAAATAAAATGAATTCAAAAGTAAATGAGCTGAATCAGAATTGCAAGCACATCAACAATCCCAACGTCGATAATGCCGAGTTCACACTGCACGGTTTTAGGCCATTTAGGGAGATCACGACAAATGCGTGATTGATATCATAGGCTAATCGGTGCTGGTTCACGCCAGTAGCAATCACCCAGTGTGAATTATCAGAGACACGATCTGAGAGAATCGCCAACGAAATTCATTATTTTAGTACAAGAATTACAGCATCTGCGCTTTGGTTGTTGTTCACTGATAATCACTGATGATTCAAGTCACCTGCACTAAGAGCATCGCTGTCGCCGTCATCATCCTCTTCCTCCTCCTCCTGAGGTTGTTCACGGCTCTGATTGGCTGGCTCAGAGTCCATTAACTCCTCCTCTGATTGGCTCACTTCCTCCGGGGCATCATGATGCTCTGCAAGCTCGGGCAAATCTTCCTCAGCCAGACTAGCCTTGCGATGCGATGACCTCCGCTTAGTTGTGGTGACCTCTGCCACAGGGCTGCCCGCTTGTTCTCCTTCATCTACAACGTCCTGCAAACTGTCTCTGTTCCCGTCAACAAACTCCAGATGATCTGAACAGAAACACATTAGCTTTATAAACCTACAAACAATCTCTGAAATAATCAATTAATTTTAGTTTAGCTACTATTAAAGAACTGCCCACTTAAGCAGTTTGCTTTTTAACGTGACATTTTGAGGGCATCTTAATATGCAATATCTGTTTATTAAATTGTAATCAAAAGCTGTGCATCATTGGAATACATTTTTTTTAATCTTACCGACCCCAAGATCATTTGAGCCTATAATAATCAGGTTGAACCTTGTGATCGCCATTTCAGGAAGTCTCATTGTTCTCACCTTTCTCTCTGGGATTCAGTCCAGCTCCGAAACTCTTTGTGACTCTAGTGGAGGCTGGAACTCCAGGGACAGCTCCTCCTCCCTCTGAGCGGTGAGCTCTGCGAGTTATTCGCTCTGGATGATGCGATGCGTCTGGGTTCTCTTCCTCCACGTTCTCATCCTCAACTTCCACAACGTTCTCATCCTCAACTTCCTCCTCCAAGTTCTCGTCCTCAACTTCCACAACGTTCTCGTCCTCAACTTCCTCCTCCACGTTCTCATCCTCAACTTTCTCCTCCGCGTTTTCATCCTCCACTTCCTCCTCCGCGTTCTCATCCTCAACTTCCTCCTCCGCGTTCTCATCCTCAACTTCCTCCTCCGCGTTTTCATCCTCAACTTCCTCCTCCGCGTTCTCATCCTCAACTTCCTCCTCCGCGTTTTCATCCTCAACTTCCTCCTCCACATTCTCATCCTTAACTTCCTCCTCCGCGTTTTCATCCTCAACTTCTTCCACCACGTTCTCTTTCTCAACTTCCCCCTCCGCGTTCTCATCCTCAATTTCCACAATGGATTCCTGATCATGTAGCTCCACATTCTGAGATTCAGGAAGTGATTCTGTCATCGCCTGCGTTGAAGCAAGTACAATATAATCTCCAGGAGTCAAAAACACATCATCTCCTGCTTCTTGGGATGAAGGCACCAACTCTGCCTCTCTCTGTGATGGTCCTACTGTCTCGTCTTTTTTCGAGTGGACGTAAAGCTCTGTGACATCATTGAGGCCGAGCGTGAACTTCTGCCATGAAGAATCTTCTAGAGTTTTTCCATCCTGAACCACAGAGTGATCTAAAAGATAGAAAAACTATTTAACTAAGACGGATGCATAATATCAGACTCATGCACACAGAGTCCGAAATTTTTGCACGATCAATCACGCTTAAACACACGCTTGAAACTTTCGTCCGTCATAAAAAAAAATAAAGAAATAAAATCGAATCGGGTTCGATTTTCTGCGTTTTTCGCATCCGTACCAAGCAGTTTGAATGATGTTTTGACAATTCAGAGCCACCGAATAATAATTTTATTTTACAGTACAAATTAATATTTATGGATGCCTTAATTCAATTTGCTGGTTTATAAGTGCTTATCATAAGTTTAGGAGGATTGATGGTGCATGTTGCATTCGCACATGAACGTTATAAGCGACCCAAACTCAGCAGATCCAAAGATGGAGTTTGTGTGGAGCAGCAAATAAAACTACCCGAGCGGCTCTGAGACTCTTATGAGCTGTTCTCATGTAAACGAATGCTTCACTCTGAAACATGCAGCACATACTATATTTAATTAAACTACAGCCCTTGATTTAGTGATCACATTAACCCATATCACGATTTTGGTTTTATTTCAAATAATTGTGCAGCCCTAGTGTATATAAACCTTGTTTCGGGCCCTGCTCCAAGCATCTCTGAACGGCCTCGTCAAATGCGTCCACAGATGGCAGCTTCCGATTGGACACCTTCCGCTGGAGCCCTGCCCTCTCAGAGCGCTTATCCACAAATGGGGTCTTCAAGGTCAGGTTCAGCCCGCTGACAGAAAATAAACTTGAATGAATCACACTCAAAATGCCTCAATCATCTCTTACATAGGGATGGGTATCGTTAAGGTTTTATCGGTATTACTACTCTTACCGATACCGCTTATCGATCCGGTACTTTAACGGTATTCTTATCGGTTCTTTTTGGTGTTTTTTTTTTTTTTTTTAAGAATTAAGAACATAATTAACTTTATATTTTGAAATGTAAAAAAGTAATGCTTTAACAAAACGAAGAAAAAAATCTATTTGTTATACAGAAAGTTTTTAATGCGGCACGTTTGGGTTTAGGAAGAACTGACAGCGCAGCGCTGTGAAGTGAAGGAAGAACGGGTGTATCTCAAATATCTTCTTATAATCTTTGGAAGCCGAAATCTAGAATAAAATTAGAAAAATATCCCAGATCTAAAGTGCAACCTCGTTTGAATGTTTAGTTCTGTCCTCATTGTCACTCACTCAATAAGCAAGGGCTGTCGTGTTGCGCGTGCTGTGGCTCCGCGTGAGAGATCGTTCTCTCTCTCTTCTCTCTCTTCTGAACTGCGAATAGCAAATTTGCATCACAGACAAATGGTTTAATTAAAATATAGTTTATATATAGAAATGGCTGGCGAGATAAACATGTTCAAGATAACGTCTTTATAGGAATAAATTGTAACCTACGTGTATTTACTTAATTTCTCCAGTACCGACAGCAGAACCGATAACGTCCGAGCTTATCGATACAGCGGTCTTTCAAAATTCAGCACCGGGGCGAGTTTAATACCGGGTTTCGGTACCCATCCCTACTCTTACAATTCAATTTCAATCCTGTAGTTCCTATATAGTTCTTAATTAAGTTAATAAGTTAGCAATTTTTTTACTTTCCATTGTCAGTTTTAGTGACCCGGCCAATCTATTGGAAAATTATGGACTAAGAATTTACCTTTTTGAGCCAGCAGACAAATCCAAATCATGAGATGTATCTGGTTTCTCTTGAGGGCCATCACCTCTGTGAGAGACATGCGAGACATCCTTTGTGTTGTCTGAGAATGTAGCAAAAGGTTAGATGATGCTTTATCTGAATGGTCTCTGTCGCACGTGACAAATTAAAATTATGTGCCGATATTCCACAATATATGCAGAATGCCTGTTTTCAATTCCAAACATAGACAGTTTACTAACAAAATCAAATGAAACAGGTGTATAACAGCTGAGAATGGGTGAAGCACCTGGCAGTTGATCGAACTGTCTCTCAAACGCGGACACACTGAAGGCAGACTGAGGTTTCCTGCGGCTCAGTCCTCTGACCACATGTGTCAGGGGTTCAGTGTTCAGAGTCAGATCAGACAGCTCCACTCCAGACAGGCCTTCACTGAGGAAAAAACAGACACGTGAGCACAACGTGTGGAGAACTAAAAGTACATGAGACTGAAGAGTTACTAACGTTCTCTCTCCGGTACTGGACACACTGGACTCGGCTGGATTCGGTTCTGTAACTTGTGCAGGCTGACCCGACATCAGAAGTGATGCTTCAGTCTCTGAAACAGACAAGTGTGAAACTTTTGAGGAAAAAAAAAATATATATATATTTGGATTCAACAGAAGAATCAATAATAGAATATATATATATTTTACATTTCTTTTCATAACTATTAATGCAAATATTTGGGCTGGTGAAGCAAATTTAATAATATTTGATGCAAAGAAGAGTTTGCTAAAATAAATCTCATTACAGTCACATTAATAACATCATCTTCTGATTATTTAGGTATTAGTTGTTTATATATTAGTTACCGCTAAGCATTAAAAACTTGTGTCAAGTATTTAGGCCACATAATAACTCAGATAATTGTAAATAATTATGTTTGACATTAATAATTATAAAACTGTAATTAAAGGTGCAATGTGTACAAATTTTTGAGTATCTATTAACACAAATGCATTTTCAGTGGTGTGTAAAGAACTTACTTGATAAACCGTCATGTTTTTATTACTCTTAGAATGAGACATTTATATCTACATAACCACAGGCACCCCCTTCTATGAAGGTCGAACACGTTTCGTCACTACCTTGAAAGAGAAGCAGCAGAAAGCAGTGGTGACTTTTCCCTTGTCAATGGTGTAAAATATGAAGTTGGATTATTTCACTTAGTTCTCCCTTGCTGTGTTATGGCTTTGCTATGTGGGGATAAATGTGCTGGTTATATTCGTGAGACAGCTGATTAATATTCTTGTCATTGACCGTAAAACAGTAACGTTACAGGAATCACCAACCTTTCGATTGCGGTCGACAAGTCGATCTTGGAAGCATTTTAAGTCGATTGAGAAGAGTTGAGAGAGATGGTGTCTTAGAGATGTGGAGGCACGCGTGCTGTTAAAATCATGTCATTTTTGCCGCGCGCACCTTTGGGCTCATGCGTCGAGTTTAAACAAGACGTTACGCTTTAACCAGCTCAGCTACAGTAACAGCTTATGTTTAGCCAGCTAAACTTTTACTACCCTGTTAGAAAAAATATAGTTGCATAGTTTCAAGTGGTTCTTCTCCCTCGCTGTATTATGGGTTTGCTATGTGGGGAGAAATGTGCTGGTTACATTTGTGATTCAATCAGCTGATTACTATTATTACATTGTATATTAAGACCCTTGATCCACACCTGACTATGGCTTTGTCTTTATCCATGATGTGATTTATAATGGACTGTGGTACAGAAACAGTGACAATGTTACACACTTCTTGCTTACACTGGCTATTCTCTGCTGTCTCAGTCAGACGATGATATGTTTGTCCCGTTTTAGCCACCGTAGCTTCTTCGAAAGGGAGGGATGAGCGGTGGGCTGAGCCCTTAGTGCAAACTCGCAACTGAACCGCTAGATGTTGCTAAAAATCACACACTGCACCTTTAAGCAACTGGACAACGGTGTGAGAACTTAGAGACAGATCAATTGAACTAAATACTACAACTAAAGGAAAACATGAACAAAAACTTCAACATAGTGAGTGCATACCATAGTTGATATTGTTAACTAAAACTATTATTGTTTTTATTAATTGGATTAAATCTGAAATGAAGTAGATTAGGAATAAATGAAAATTTGAAATGTTGTCTTGGCAATGAACTGAAATAAAATAAGTAGAAGTTCTAAATTGACAAACAAAAATATAGATTCTTCATTAATAAAAAAAATGACAAAAAGCACATTAAAAAAATTACTAAAACTTATTTCTAAAATTAAAATTAAAACTATATATAAATTAAAGCTAATTAATTTAAAATATAACTAACTATTATTGGTACTTTCCATGGCTTTTCCCTGGTATTTCCAGGTATTCCTTAGCAATAAGATCTCAGAATATACCTCTTTATTAATACACCCATCAGTTTTTCTTAATATTTATCGGTTCATTCCTGAAACCTTGGCGGAGAGTTTGCACTCACCCATCTGCATGATTCCTCTGAGCAGACCACGAGTCGTCATGTCTTCATCATGCAGCGGGGACGGGCCAGGAGCCACCATTGACCTCTGTCGTTTAGGTGAAGGGAGGGGTGACAGAGAGGCACTCTGAGAAAAAGAGGAAGGTATTCAGGATGCGATTTTGTAGAATATGAAGTTGTATATATAATAATTTATACACCCAACGTACCTCATGGAGCTTCTTCTTGAGTCTGTGACGCAAGGCAGATCCAGGACTCTCCACACCAGGGGTATTTTTCACCCTCATGCTCCGCCGTACACTGGTTGAACTGAAACATAACAAACATTAAAAATCAATACACAAAACTTGCACAAATTTAAATATATATACGTGTGTGTGTATACATAAAATATACATGTATATGTATACAAATTTCAGAAGTTAATAGTAAAATGAGGTTTTGCATTGTTGTCTGTAAGTTAATGGCTATAATTCACAATTCGTATGGTTTTAAAAGGTAAGTTAGTGTTAAAAAGAAAATTAATACAGACTTAACCTACAACCAGTATACAGATAGTATAACTTCCCCCTTTGACGTGTTTGTATTTAGTTGTTATTCAACTAACGTTACATTTGAAAAACTATTTACTCAACTAACTTATTTGTTTATACAATGTAATCTGTGTGCATTAACCAATTACGTAAACTTTTAAAGCAAACAAACATATAAAATTAGCCGGGCGATTTTATTTGTTTATAAAATGTAAGTGACATTTGAATCAAATTCACCTTCTGGTTACAGGAGATCTGGGTAACTCTGTGTGCAGGACTCTCCTCAACAAAACCCGAGCAGATATGTCCTCTTCTGTTGAATCCATCGTTTCTTATCGTAGTTTATCACAAAATGAAAGATTTCCAACAGCTAAAAACTCTAAACTACATTAAATTGAAATGAAACAACAAAGAAACACATCGCCGTCTCATCCGTCTGAGGTTTGAAAATGGAAGTCACACTCCCGCTCGTTCGTTCAAGTGAATCTCGCGATATTTTTTCGCTGGCTTACATTCATAGATATATTTACACTAGACGTCACCTTGGGGCTCTAAGCATGCGTCAAAACAGCCGCCATCTTGGAACAAGGGCGTTGTGTTGTCATAGGAAGTAGCTAGACAACCTCTGCCTTTACTTCGAATTAATTGATGGTAGCGGACTTTTGTGCTGTGTATGATGTTCACACGAATTAAAAAAAATCAATGATAAATTCATGTCTGACTGTTGGAACGAACCAAAAAAAACAACAACGAGAAAATCGCATTCATGATGATTTATGGTGATTTTATTTACGTTAGACCTTTATCTATTGACACTGATGTATTAAAGGGATACTCCACTTTTTTTTAGAAATAGGTTCATTTTACAACTCCCCCAGAATTAAACAGTTGAGTTTTACAGTTTTCGAATCCATTCAGCTTATTTTCTGATATTTAGTAGAATATCAGTAACCAGACAGTTTCTGGTCTCATTGACTCCCATAGTAGGAAAAAATATATACTGTGGAAGTCAATGAGACCAGAAACTGGTTACTGATATTCTTCTAAATATCAGAAAATCGGCTGAATACATTGGAAAACGGTAAAACTCAACTGTTTAACTCTGGTGGGTGATAAAATGAGCCTATTTCCTAAAAAAGTGCAGTATCCCTTTAAAGTGGAGGGGCTCCTCTGTTCCAAGATGGCGGCTCTATTGACGCATTAGATCTAGTGAACTGCGGGCGAAATCTAGTGTATATTTCTATGGCTAACATTATGTAGAGAAGTTTGCAGCACTGTAGTACCAGAGCTCTGTGTAGTACCACAGTACATCCTCAGGGGGGCGTACGACAACAGCGACTCATAAAGCATTCATATCTCAGTGCGATTTGTGAAGTGTAATAAATTGACACCTAACATACAGATTGAAAAGAATTCCAATCTATTTACAATTATTTTAAAATAATCACTCAATAAAACAGGTGTGATATGGCAATCCTCGTACGGAGTAGTTTTGAGTTTGAGTTCTGCATCATGCTATATGTGCAAAAACGCGGTAGTAATATGAAGAAAAACTTGGTTAGAGATGCCACGAAGTAAGTGGCAATGCCTTAACCGTATATGTGTTGAAGGCCACTAAGACCTCTTCCATCCTTGTCAAGGGGAGTGCTAACCTTCTCTCCTTTCATACAACACATTCCCGCCGTTGGTTCTCGTAATATATAAAGCACCGTATATGCTTGTATTTCCCAACAACGGTAACCAGTTTTAAAACGAAAATCTTTTTTTAACCATTATATATCGTTGTGTATACACGTTTACATAAACTTTATAAATGTATTAGTTTGATTAATCCTTGAATTATGTTATTAAACGTTGTTTTTGCGATCCTGAGGCGCCTTGCAAGGTTTTCTCATTTGCATCTCACATATACCGACCAATCAAAACTACGCGAGAGGATACGTCACAGACTCTTGCCCAGGAAGTAAACACTAGACCATGCGGTATAAAAGCCGTGACGCGGGAGCATCAGGTCTGTGTTGCTGAACCGTTTCTGTGTCTCATAAACGTTTGTGGGAAAACCTGATTCTTTTTGCGTTACCTAAATAAGTATATTTATGGTGTGAATGGTTCTGCAACGTTGTAAGCCTGAGTTGAGAATATTTACATAACGTTACTTTTAGATTGTTAAAATAACTAAACGTCTGTCAAGGCCAGCTGATTGATTGAAACTCGTGTGTTGCAGAAACACAATCCGAGACAAATGGAAGAAATGGCGGAAAGAAACTCACTCCCGAAGATGATTTACGTATTGGGAGGTCTATTAAATCTAGTTCGACCCTAATATCCGAACGAGATGGATGGATGTGCTTTTTTTGGCCTTCAAAATCTATGGGACCGTTCATTCCCATTATAAAGCTTGTAAGACCCAGGATTATTTATCATATAACTCTGATTGTGTTTGCCTGAGGATGTTTTGTTATGAATTGGTAGTAGCTATAATATTAGTGATACTGACTTTCATTCATAAAAAAGACGCCATTAAGATACATCTGTAATAGGCTACTTGAAAATAAATAGTGCCATTTAAGTGCCTACTTACTATATCTAAAAAAATAAACAAAAAAAATTAAAATGATGTTTGTGTGAGTGAAATGTAGTGGCTTTTGTTAAAACCTCATGTTATTACTGGTAAGTGTTAGTTTGTCTAGGTAGGAGATTGCAGCAATCTTCCACCAGATTATGGCTCATTTTTCGTGTCAACACCACGAATGAAACTAAGAATTGTACATCTTTACAGTGAATTCGAATGAAATGAAGGCAAATAAGAATAATAATAATAATGGTTAGACTAAAAACATGAATGGTGTGAGTGATATGACATGTTTGAAAAAATCATGATGTTACAAAATCACATTTTACTGTCTGGGGTCCTCTTATGAAAAGAAAATACATTTCCCTATATATGAATGGTTTCACAGCATATTTGAAAAATATACAGAATAATATATGGTGTTAATATATTACAATATATTGAATAATTCATAATAAATAATTAAATAATATTGTTTTGTGTAAGAAAGTATACAATTAAATGTGTTGTCATGCAAGTAGTTTCATATTGTATGCACGGCGTGCACACACACACTGTTTTGAGAGGTCGTTTTATAGATTTCCATTGATTTTATATCAAGTTTATGATGTTTTCTATGGCCTACCACTAAATCTACCCATCACAGAAACATGTGCAAAACACAGTTGTAAATAAAGACATTTTAGCTGATTAGTAAGCCTTTTTAACTAGTGAAGAGCTAAAATGTCCTCACTAGTCAGTTATCATAATATTTCACCATAAGTGAGGACATTTGGCCCTAACACATATAGACAAACCAGTACACACTCACACAGATACACTGAGACAATAATTGTTTGATTTTCCCCTCTATCTTTAATTGGCACAGTCAACACATACAAAGTATTCAGTGCTCCAAAAACACAAGCATAACAAACAGAACACAAAGACAAAAGTGCAAAACATACATTTGGCAGACCCCACCAAACGAGACCAAAAAAAAAAAAAAAAAAGTTTAATTCAATTAGCAAAGCAGAGAAAAGAAACTGGGATGTTTTTATTAATCAAAATTTAAAAATAGACTCTTACCATGGATTGGTAGTTCACTCTTATTTATAGACTTGTACGTATAGATATACATATATATATATATATATTTATATTTAAAACTGATTTGGGAATGGTGTTTTGAAGCCCCAAACAGAGCAGGAAGGGGCAGAGGGCAAATGATCCTTATCACCGATAGGCCAAACAAGACAGCTGTGTGTGTAGATGCCGATATAGAACTGATGGCCGGCGCAGTATAACAGTGCTGGAAGGATGAAACGTTAAAGTTGTTTTGTTCTTAAAGAGAACCAGAGCACTTGAGACAGTGTGCATGTTCGGAAGACAGACGTAATGATGCTTTCCTCTTTAAGATGTTGTTCTCCGCTTTTCAAAACCTTTTCTCAATGATTACACATTTTCATTTTCATATTTAGGCTATAGGTTCATCAATAGCGAGTCAGTCAGTTATTAGGAGATGCTGCTCAATTCATTCAACATAAAATATCGTAATTCATCAATAAGCTCTTTATTAAACAAAATAAAAGCATTCGGCAATAAATAGCAGATTTGTGGCATGTGTGAATTGTCATTTCCATGATGCTGCCTGTAGAGATGTAGATGTTTTGGGCTTCAAACCTACTTAAGAATAAAGAGAAAATGAAAAATACCTCAACACCTCTCCAGGACCCAATATGACTGAGAGAATTAAAAAAAATATATAAAAAGAAAAGTTCAAATTAGTATGTGCCTCAAGGATGGTGAGTAGTCAGTGAAAGATGATGAAATTAAAAATTATTATATCTTCACAACAGACATTACAGAAAGAAAAACTCCCCTTCGTCAAACCACGGTGATTACATAAAAAAAAAAAATCAGTTGATTTAAAAACCTCAAGCATGGAGTCATTTCTTCAGCTTAAGACAACCATACAAATGCCAAACACAGATCACATGATGCATGTTAAATGTCTGGTTAACCTGTACATTTGGCTCAGAGTACATTTAAACCCTTACGTATATACCATATATATACCTTAAGGTAACCGAAACCGGCCAATGAGGTTGCGGTATTCTCGGCTGGGTTCTCCACAGGGTAAAACCATGAAGGCATGAACAAAACATCGGTCACAATAAATACATACCTATATCAACAGGACATTAGCATATTCATGTGTGTAAATATAGCTCCTCCCCTGCCTGACAACAAAAAAAAAGGCTCACGCTCGAGCTTGACGATTGGACGGTAAAGCTGGAAGTCGTTGAATGAATGAAAAATGTGAATCACTGAAGGGACGTTAGATAAAAATGAGTTAGAAAAGATGGCAGACAGACAGTGTATTAGTAATTGCACTGGAAGGGCGGAGACAGAGGAGGTGCCAGGGCAAGCAGACATGCTATTGGCCAGTGAAGCCCCGCCCCTGATGTGTGCCCTGCAGCTGTTGTCTTTGGGAGGCGGAGTCAAAGCCTCTAAAGGGGTGTGGCCTGGTAAAGGAGCCGGAATGAGTGACATCATGAAGAATTCTATTGCTGCGTTCCACGGCAATTATTTTAGCTTGAAGCTTGGAAAAGTGCAACAGAAGGGCACTTAAAGACATTTCACATCATACACAAAAGCTTTTCAGCACATAAAATGCGAGAAATTCCTACATGTTTTTTAGCTGTGTAAAACATGATAATGTTGATATTCATATACCTGTAAAACATGTGCTTGCTTCGCCATTTTGTTTCTTTATAGACTACCGGCCAAAAGTTTGGAAAAATATTTTCTTTTTAATAAAGAAGTCTTTTAAGCTGAGGCAGAATTTATTTGATCAAAAATTCAATAAAACAGTAGCATTGTGAAATATTCCTCAGTGTCACGTGATTCTTTAGGAATCATTCTAATGTGCTGAGTTTCTGCTCAAGAAACATTTCTGATTATTATCGATGTTAAAAACAGGACATATTTTCGTGTAAACTGCGATGCACTACCATAAAAAAATTGAACGGAAGTAACGTTAACAAAAACAAACTTTTATTCAGGAAGGACACAGTAAATTAAATCAAAAGTGCAAAATAAAAATTTACAAAATATTTGTTTCTGTCTATTAATCTAAGAATCCTGAAGAAAATGTATTACAGTTTCCACAATGTTTTCAACATTTAATAATACTAATGTTTCTTGAGCAGTAAATCATCATATTAGATGAGATGATTAGATGATTTCTGAAGGATCATTGAGACACTGTAATGATGCTGAAAATTCAGCTTTGATCACAGGAATAAATTACATTTTTAACATATATTAACATAGAAAACAGTTATTTTAAATTGTAATAAAATTTCACAATATTACTGTTTTTACTGTATTTTTAATCAAATAAATGCAACCTTGGTGAGCATAAGAGACTCAAGAACATTTAAAAATCTCAATTATTCCAAACTGTTAGTGTGCATCATCTTCCAAGCATCAAGATGTAGAAGTCAAGTAGGAATACGGACAGAATGCAGCACTGACGTGGTACCGAAAGTTCAGCTCCTTTTACAGACCACGTTCCCAGTTCAGGATAGCTCAGGGAATCGGAAGCAAGACCGTTTCAAGCTGTTAAAGACGAAAAAAAAAAAAAACACACACACATACAAACATACATACTCATTCGCACCAGGCTGAAAGAAACGTTAGAGCCGTTCAGCAGCGATGAAGAGCCGTAAAGCAAAATGATATATGTAGATCATATTCACCTCATTATAAAAGAACAGACATGTAATAAATCTAAATGTCATAATATTTCTCTGATTTGCTGTTAAAGTTCCTCTCTACAGCAGGAGAATTTAGGCCGAGAGGTCTCTATAGCCTCTTCCTCTCGCTTCTTTCACTGTTCCTCTCTTTATTTTGTGTCTGTCTCTCATCTGTCTCACTCTAGGGCGGTTCATGGAGGGTAGGCTGTAGTTTTCCCCACATGTGGCTGCTGTTTGCCCTGCACCACTGAGTCCTCCTTCCATACTTTACGAATCTGCAGTCATACAAACAAAACAAAGAGATGAAAAACAAAAGAAAAGACATGTTAGACTTGGTGAAGTGATGAATTCATGCCCCCTATGAATGGCTTTTCACCGTATAGTTAAAGGGATATTTCACCCAAAAACAAACATTTTGTCATCATTTACTCACAAGATATTTTGAAGAATGTTTGTAACCAAACAGTTGCTGGTCCACATTGACTTCAATAGTTTTGAATATCTTCAAAATATCTTCTGTTGTGTTTAACAGAAGAAAGAAACTCATACAGGGCGAGTAAATGATGACAGAATTTTCATTTTTGGGTGAACTATCCCTTTATCCCTGTGTTATATACTTTTTATTTTTAAGCCCTTTTTATCCATGGGTTAAGCAATATTTCATGCCAGTATTATTGTAGTATTAAATTTTATACTATTTGAGTGTATATTCGTATTTTTAATAACATTTTATTTTTATGATTTCAGTTAACATTTTAATTTTAGTTTAAAGTTTTAGTAATTGTTATGTGTTTTGTCATTTTTATTAGTTTCCTTTTAGCTTTAATAAAACATTTTTCTTAACTTTAGTTATTTAAGTACATCATCTTCATTTAGATGCCAAGCAATATTTCAAATTTTCATTTATGTTTCTTAAGTTTAAGTCTTACATCTAATATTTTTATTTGATTTTATTACAGCTTTATTACTATTAACGAAAATGATTGTTAAAGTGCCCCATTATGCTTTTTCGAATATTACAGTTTCAGAGATCAAAGTGCAGATCAATGGGAGTTATTGTCTCCTAAAAGAATGAATCAATACTTGTTACTGTACTGTTCATCATTACAGTTCGTATTACTGTGTATCAACTGCGGAGGAAGATCAGGAGCTGAAATTTAGACATGGTAATGGGCGTTTCGTTTCTAACATGAGCTATAAACGGTAAACCAATCATAACAGACTGAGCCACCTGACCAATCAGAGCAGAGTAGACCAATAACAACAGACTGGGCCATCTAACCAATCAGAGCAGAGTAGACCAATCACAACAGACTGGACCATCTAACCAATCAGAGCAGAGTAGACCAATCACAACAGACTGGACCATCTGACCAATCAGAGCAGAGTAGACCAATCACAACAGACTGGATCATCTGACCAATCAGAGCAGATTAGACGAATTACAACAGACTGGGCCATCTGACCAATCAGAGCAGAGTAGACCAATCATAACAAACTGGACCATCTGACCAATCAGAGCAGAGTAGACCAATCACAACAGACTAGATAATCTGACCAATCAGAGCAGAGTAGACCAATAACAACAGACGGGACCATCTGACCAATCAGAGCAGAGTAGACCAATCACAACCGACTAGATAATCTGACCAATCAGAGCAGAGTAGACCAATCACAACAGACTAGATAATCTGACCAATCAGAGCAGAGTAGACCAATCTCGACCGACTGTACCATCTGACCAATCAGAGCAGAGAAGACCAATCATAACAAACTGGACCATCTGACCAATCAGAGCAGAGTAGACCAATCACAACAGACTGGACCATCTGACCAATCAGAGCAGAGTAGACCAATCTCGACCGACTGTACATCTGACCAATCAGAGCAGAGAAGACCAATCATAACAAACTGGACCATCTGACCAATCAGAGCAGAGTAGACCAATCACAACAGACTGGACCATCTGACCAATCAGAGCAGAGTAGACCAATCACAACAGACTGGACCATCTGACCAATCAGAGCAGAGTAGACCAATCTCGACCGACTGTACCATCTGACCAATCAGAGCAGAGAAGACCAATCATAACAAACTGGACCATCTGACCAATCAGAGCAGAGTAGACCAATCACAACAGACTAGATAATCTGACCAATCAGAGCAGAGTAGACCAATAACAACAGACGGGACCATCTGACCAATCAGAGCAGAGTAGAGTCAGTAGACCAATCACAACCGACTAGATAATCTGACCAATCAGAGCAGAGTAGACCAATCACATCAGACTAGATCATCTGACCAATCAGAGCTGAGTTGACCAATCACTACAGACTGGACCATCCGACCAATCAGAGCAGAGTAGACCAATCACAACAGACAAGATTATCCGACCAATCAGAGCAGAGTAGACCAATCTCGACCGACTGTACCATCTGACCAATCAGAGCAGAGTAGACCAATCACAACAGACTAGATCATCTGACCAATCAGAGCAGAGTAGACCAATCACAACAGACTGGATAATCTGACCAATCAGAGTAGAGTAGACCAATCACGACAGACTGGACCATCTGACCAATCAGAGCAGAATAGACCAATCACATTAGACTAGATCATCCGACCAATCAGAGCATAGTAGACCAATCACAACAGACTGGACCATCTGACCAATCAGAGCAGAGTGGACCAATCACTACAGACAAGATTATCCGACCAATCAGAGCAGAGTAGACCAATCATGACAGACTGGATAATCTGACCAATCAGAGCAAAGTAGGCTCTCGGAAAGGAGGGATTTAGAGACACCAAATCTTTGAGAAATAAGGTGATGTGCAATGTATATTATGAGAAACTGACACATATACTGCAGAAGATCTCAGAAACAAAATTAGGAAGTTATGAAATAGCATAATAGGGCCACTTTAATAGTTTTAGTTTAACAATAACACTATTTCATACTTGTAATTTTAAAATCAAATGTACACAGTGATTAACCCAGGATAAACTAACAGTTTAAAACATGGAACATGATTACAAGAGTGAAAAGCCTATTTCAATGCACACCAAACACACACACATGACATTTTATGTATATGCTTATATGAGCTGTACAATTACAAAATGGACTGAAAAATGACAATATAAACATATAGGATTGTGTGTAGTGTGATTTATAATATGCATGAATTATTGGCAAGAGTAATCAAATTTTCTGGGTTGAATTCAAGAACAAATGCAGCCTTAAACATGCATTTATGAAGAGAAAACATCACTCAAACAGGCAGGTTTGCAGAAACAGAGGACTCAGATGACGTTTAATATGTTTATATAATCAATAATTAGATCAGCATGTAGGTTATCTCTTAAGTTGGTTTGCTTTTTGTGTGTGTGGACGCCATTTTGCAGAAAACTATAACTTAAAGGTGGCATACAGTAAGTAGGTTCATGCTTGTTTAAACTGAAACAAAGGTCAGACTTCAACACTTCATTTGGAGGAAATCACACTCGTGCAATATTCAACTCAAACGGTTTCAAATGTCTAAAGTATTCAAATGCAAATCGAGGCATCTTAAAATGAAAGAGAAATTCAAGATCTCCATTCACACACCCACACACACAGTTAATGCACTCATCTAGTACTCCGTCTCACCCTCAGAAAGATAAACCCTTGTCCAGGAAAACAGCTCTGTGAGGAAACATTCAGAAACGTTTCATGCGTCACATTTCACAGCTAAAATGGCAACTCAGCTCTCATCCAGGAATAAAGATGAGGAGCACCGAACATGATTGTGTCGTGATTGTGACTCAAACTTTATGATTGTGATATTACTCATTTAAATGGTTGCATTGTGTTTTTCTGTAAACTTATGTTTAATATTAAGTTAATTATGAATATCTACATCAACTATACACTGTAAAAAAAATTGTTTCTACACCAACTGTTTTCAGTGTATGTATTGAGATTGAACACAGTTTGAACAAATAATACAGCTAAAGATCCATAACGGCAGTCTCAATCTAACACGTATTAGCAAATGATGTGCTTTTCACAAATATATTCAAAGGCATGATGACTACTTATGCTACTTGTAAACTGTTTATTATTATTACTAGTGCTTGAGCTGATGTTTTTGAGGGGAAAAACACCAGCATAAGGCCCGGTTCACACAGAACTCGTTTTTGAGATGCAGGTCAGTGGAGCGAGAGAAAAAAAGCAAGGTCTAGAAACTCGTTCTTTAAAAGTTTAACTTATTTTAACCAGTGCCGTGTTTTTTAAAATGCTTATGTCATGTACTAGACAAAAATATGCGAGACGCCAGTAGAGCAGTGGAATTGAAAAATGTGTTCTGTGTGAACGGCCCCTGATATGACGTTTTCCTCCAAGAGCTAGGCTGGATCTTAAGTTAATTTACAATTACTTTATATATGAAAACAATACAAAACTTGCATGTATCTCCTCGTACAGTATATGTGTGTTGCGTTTTATTGGAGATGGTTCTCACTGCAGAACATGAAATCCACGGGGAGGAGTCGGATCCAGATCCAACTCCTCCCACCTTACGTACGCCTAAACCTACCCAACTCCGCCCCCTGATCCCTAAACCCAACCCTAATCCTACCTCTAATCTCCACCCCTTGGATCTTGATCCGACTCCTCCCTGTGGATCTCCAACGCGTTCTCATCCTTTAACGTCATATAGAACGCTATATGACAAAACGGCGCTATACTACGCGCATGGCACACGTTATCGTTAATATAACACGCGCTGTGAGGGCTAAGTTTAGGTGTGGGGTAGGGTGTGCGTGTCACATTCACGCTAAAGGATTTATAACGTCTTGGGTTCGCGTGTTATATTAACGATAAAGGGTGCCATATGCGTAGTATAGCGCCGTTTTTGCATATAGCGTTCTATATGACGTTAAAGGATGAGAACGGGCTGGGATCTCATGTACTGCACTGAGGTGCTACTGTTTTATTGGGGCGATCTAACATGCTCTGCTATTCAATACAAGAAGATACTACAACCATATGAAACTATGGTGGACTAATATCTAAAACCATCATGTGCTACGACACATAGAGTACTAGAGCTGCACGATTCTGCTTAAACTGAGAATCACGACCTTTTAGTTTCAAACAGACATCACGATTCTCAACAGACAACTAAACAAAATAACATGTAATTAACTGATTGATAATAATTCCTGCAGTCCACTAAAAATGTTTAATTCATTTGAATGAATTATTTTTTTTAAAAATCGTGTTGAATTAATGATTCAATGACTCACTTGTTTTTTTAATTACTGGATGAATCAGCACTTTTTTTAAGAATCCCTTGAATGAATGATTCAATGACTCACTCAAAAATACTTCATGTGTTTCATTACTAGATGAATCAGTGTCTCTGAACGAATCTCCTGAATGAATGATTCAATGACAAATTAATTTGTTCACTTGTCACCTTGTGCCGTAACAACATAATCAATCGCTGTGTGTCAAGTTACTTTCGAAAGAGAATTTGCTCTATTTTGATCGCTACTGTATCGGTGTTTATATCCAAACTATAATCTTTTATCTTAGTACTTCTGTGATAATGTGAATATTTGTAACAGAAATAATGATACTCCTCATTTAAGAATGAGATCGTGTGGGTGTTTGAATATAGATCGCGATGTTTTAAAGGGATAGTTCACTTTGAAATTAATTTTTGGTATGTTTTAGCTTATCAAGGGCATCCAAGATGTAGGTGTCTTTGTTTCCACAGTAGTTTCAATTTTGATATTTTTAGGTCAAACCGTTTCTGTCTATCAGTCATATAATGGAGGTCTATGGGGTCCACCTCAAAGAGCATGCACAGAGAAGACCAAATTAAACATGATTTAATGACTCATAAATGTAAGTACACATTGATGGCCCAAGACACGAAACGAGCGGTTTGTGTGAGAAAACGAACAGTATTTATATCGTTTTTACCTCTTGTAACCACAGCCACGTCCAAGTGAAATGAGGGCGCGAAACGAGCGGTTTGTTTTCTCACACAAACCACTCGTTTCGTGTCTTGGGCCATTAATGTGTACTTACATTTATGAAACATTCAATCATGTTTAATTTGGACTTTTCTGTGCATGCTCTTTGAGGTGGACCCCATAGACCTCCATTATATGACTGACAGACAAGAACGGTTTGACCTAAAAATATCAAAATTGAAAATACTGTGAAAACAAAGACGCCTACATCTTGGATGCCCTTGAGGTAAGATAAAACATATCAAAAATTAATTTCAAAGTGAACTATCCTTTTAATGATTAACCGTGCAGCTCTATACATTACAATCATTTAGTCATTCAGTTTCAGAAATAGGTCTGTCCGTATTAATAAAAACAGTCCCATTCTTGGCTTGGAGAGAGTCAGGATCGAACACACACCCTAGATGTCTTCTTTAGGGTTCATAAACACAAACAGACTCATGAGCTCTCGGTCATATGTAGGTTATGGCACCTTTGGAGTTGGAGTCCAGAAAGACCTCGACGTAGGATGTGGGGACGTAACCCTCCTCTTCCTCGTTTCTTCTAACACGTGTCCATCCGTCCCCTTTGTCTTCCTCTATTACATACAAGAGCTCACCCTCTGTTACTGCGATGGTGCCTTCATTATGACCTACAGAGGAAAGTGATGGGAAAATAAAGATATATCTGAAGTCTTTTATTCAGCAGGGATATATTACATTGATCAAAAGTGACATTGTTTCCAAAGATTTATGTTGTTTCAAATAAATGCTGATCTATTGAACTTTCTAGTCATCAAAGAATCTGATTTCAACATGGATAATAATCAGAAATGTTCCTTGAGAAGCAAATCAGCATATTAGAATGATTTCTGAAGGATCATGTGACAATGAGGACTGGAGTAATGATGCTGAAAATTCAGCTTTGATCACAGGAATAAATGAGTAATAATAATATTTAGCAAGTATCCATTTCACTTAGGAAGTACACAGCAGACAGTGAGGCAGTTCACAAGGCTTAAAGCGAAGCCTATATTTTTGCTATAAATGTGTGTTTACGCATTTAAACGTGAAATACCTTCGAACGGGTAAAGGGCTTTGCAGGTGCCGATGGTCGGTAGCATTTCTTCGTCTGGGTCATCAAATTCATCGCCGGACTCCGCTGTTTCTGGTTGGACTTTACTCTGGACCTCCGAACTCTGTTCCTCTGTATAACTGCCATCCGGACTGCTCCATCACACACACGCACACACACACGTAGACAATAACTATAGCAACTGTTTTGAAAGTATATGCATATATTTGCTTTATTTCACTCCTGAGGGACTAGTTTTTAAAAATGTCCTCAGAAAATACTGTAAAACACCTTAAAAACGAATATGTCCGGACTGAAGTCACTAGTTAACAAGGTTAACATCAACGTAAGATTAAAATCTAAATATGTTAAAGTTGTCTGCACAAGCTACATGCAAAGTTTCCAGCTGCAAGTAATCGTTCTGTCCTCAGTGAAAATAAGTAAAGCTTTATTAATATAGCACAAAAAGAGTTTACAAAGTGCTATACGAGCGTCACCTCATGCTTTTATACATTTGATCATTTTTCTTGTATATAGTTAATTCTCATTCACTGTTAATGCCACACAAAAGAAGATATTTGAGAAATATTTGCAACCAAACAGTTGTGGGGCACCAATGACTTCCATTGTATGGAAAACAAATACTATGGAAGTCAATGGGGTCCGGTTACCGACATTCCTCAAAATATCTTCTTTTGTGTTTCACAATTCACAAAGGTTTGGAACAACTTGAGGGTACATTATGACAAAAATAATGAGTTAAAATTTTTGGTTGAAAATATCCCTTTAAGGTAAATACTAAGCAACAATCAGGCCTTCTCCATTGTGGGTGGAGCTAAGGTAGGCACACAATGTGTGTGTGAGTGTGTACCTCTCTCTATCCTGTGCGCAGCTGTTGTTGTTGGTGGTGGGTGGTGTGCTGTTTTGGGTCTCGTACAGGACACTTGTCCGCCGCGGAGGCTCACTCTTCACAGGCATCCTTCCTTCGACCTCCGCTAACCAGCCCTAGAGCGCACACACACACTCATTTCCACTGAACTGAACTACACATCCAGGCCTGTGCTAGATATATATATATTTCAAGATGCTCATTTACACGCACCTCAAATTTCTGTGCCTCCGCTTGCAGTTTCTCAATGTTGTTGGCGATCTCTCCTAACCGAGGGTCCACGCTGTTGGGATCCCCCATCTGTGGGTTCTTTATATACACTTCCTTCATTTTAGTCAAAGCATCTCTGCCAAGAAAAATTACACATAAATACAAATTATTTCAGAATAAATCCAATCAAAACCTAGCCTAGTCAAAATACACCAAAATTCATATGTAAAGCATTTCGATTGGAATTTCATAATTAGGAATCAAATAAAAATCCTACTGAAAAATCAAATAATATTCTAAAGGACTTGATCTTCTTGAGTCTTATTGAACATTATCTTTATTAAAACTCATTTCATATTCTATTGAGTAATTGAGTATAAGGGTTTTAAAAGCCCAAAATATTTTAATTTTTATTTATTTTTATTTTATTCTCTTAGTAATCATAATCATAATTCGATTGGAATTTCATAATTAGGAAATTAAATAAAAATCCTACTAAAAAAACAAATAATATTCTAAAGGACTTGATCTTCTTGAGTCTTATTGAACATTGTCTTTATTGAAACTCATTTCATACTGTAATGAGTAATTGAGTAAAGGGGTTTTAAAGCCCAATATATTTGATTTTTTTTTAATAAATTTTATTCTTTTAGTAATCATAATCTAATTGGAAACCATGAGTTTGCAATAAATAATCATTACACTTTACAAAAATGTTCCATTTGTTAACATCAGTCAACAAATATTAGTTAACATGAACTAACAATAAAAAATAATTCTAAAGCACTTCATAATCTTAGTTAATGTTAATTTCAGCATTTACTAATACATTATTAAAATCAAAAGATGCATATCTTCATATTATTTAACAAACCAGAGCTAATAATGAACATGATGTATTTTATTAAATAACATTAACAACTAAGATGAACAAATACTGTAATAAACGTATTATTCATTTTTAGTTCATGTTAGCTAATGGATTAACTAACATTAACCAATGGAACCTTCTCGTAAAGTGTTAACCAATAGATACTTTGTAAGGCTCACAAAGTCTTTATAGCCTTCTTAACACTGTCAATGTGTTATTTAGGATTTTTTGGGGGGGAATTTCTGTTATTTGTGTGTTTTGTCTGTATACCTCTGGTCCATCTCTTTCTGTATGTCTTTATTGATGTCGTCGATCTTCGCCTGAAGCTTCTTCCTTCTCTGCTCTGGAGGAAGATGACTGAAGTCCTCTGGATTCGAACCCTGAGAGGAGACAGAGAGGGAGATAAACAATGAGTGTTTGCACCTTAAAAAAACAACACTGTCCTGCTAGAATCTACAAATGAAGAGTTCAGATGCAAAAGCCTCTAAATGCCATTTGAAATTTTCTTCTAGAATGATCATTTTTATCAAGCTTGTATATTTAAGTTCAGTGATTTCACTTAAATGGCAATGATAATTACCTATTAATTGTAAATTTTAAGTGAAATTACTGAACTTAAATATACAAGTTTGATCAAAAGCATCATTAAAGAAGAAAATTTCAAATGGCATTTAGAGACTTTTGCATCTGAACTCTTCAAATACATAAACAAAAATATGCATAGCCTATGTATAAATAGGGAGGGTCAAACCAGGCCACATCCAAACACATTAACTGACTATTACGTATTCTTCTGTCCCTGTCATCTGGTTGGCTAGCTTACTTTGGTAAGAAGCCAATCAGCTTTCAAATCAGGTGTTTATCAAAGGCAAACCAGATGAGCTAATTAAATCTAAGATCAATGATTGACGGAACCTATTCAGTCCAATGCCAACAACAACATTGATTAAACGGTTCTCATAAAATAAATGATCTTGTCTTGCTCGCTCATCTTTGAAACCTGATTCTGGTTGATCTGAGAAATGTGGTTTGCATCTGTCCTTATGTGCCCTCTCTCTCTAATCTCCTCTTCCTGTCTACATTAATGTATCGATTCTCTGAACACTCGAGTCGTGGTTTTTGCCACATTAGTTCTCTCTGACAGGCAGTCTTCGCCATGCTGATCTTAATCACATGGTGGTGCTAAAGAGCCGTGAGTTTGGGGACATTAAAGGGATAGTTCACTTTGAAATTATTTTTTGATATGTTTTAGCTTACCTCAAGGGCATCCAAGATGTAGGTGTCTTTTTTTTCACAGTAGTTTCAAGTCAAACCGTTTCTGTCTCAGTCATATAATGCAGGTCTATGGGGTCCACCTCAAAGGGCATGCACAGAGAAGTCTAGATAAACATGATTTAATGACTTGTAAATGTAAATACACATTGATGGCCTAAAACACAAAACGAGCGGTTTGTGTGAGAAAACAAACAGTATTTATATAGTTTTTACCTCTTGCCACAAAGCGCCCGTGCCCTCAGATCACTTGGATGTGGCTGTGCTGACAAGAGGTAAAATCTATATAAATACTGTTTGTTTTCTCACACAAACTGCTCGTTTCATGTTTAAGGCCATCAATGTGTATTTATATTTATGAGTCATTAAATCATGTTTAATTTGGACTTCTCTGTGCATGCTCTTTGAGGTGGACCCCATAGACCTCCATTATATGACTGAGACAGAAACGGTTTGACCTAAAAATATCAAAATTGAAAACACTGCAAAACCGAAGACACCTACATCTTGGATGCCCTTGAGGTAAGATAAAACATACCAAAAATTAATTTCAAAGTGAACTATCCCTTTAAAGACACTGCAATACTTATTCTAGCCTAAAATTGGACCTGATTTATTCACAGCATTTCTCTCATTTGAGCTTGGACTGAATAGGTGTATAGCTGTAAGTTTTCCTTTAATCCAACCCAGTGTTCAATGCAAATGTCTAACTAAAAGGTCAAAGGTCACAAGGCAGGCACAGCGACCTTACCCCTTCTTCCACGCCACCGTACTGTCATGCAAACAATAAACATCCAGATTTTACTGGGCATGCATTGCATTGTCACTCAAAAATACAGTAAAATAAACCCACAAACTCACCCCAGGCAAACTTGAAATATATAGATCTCTACACAAGCACAACACACATGCTACAATCACTTTTGTACTCACCCTCTTCAAAACAAAGACAAATTGTTCAAATAAAAATGTTAATTGTGCAACATTTGATTATTTAAAAATGTTTTTATCTAAAAAAAAATGTGCTCTAAAATCTCAGAAATCAAGACAGAAATTATATGGATCAATATTCACATATCTATAAACATACATTAGCTATGGTATAATATTCAACTGTAAATCATACAACAATAATCACATGTCAAAATCTTTGGGCGGGGCTAAAGTAGTAAGACGCTTTGTGATTGGTTAAGATATGTTATATATCCTAATCACTGATAATTAATATAATACATGAAATAATTGACACAAAATGGTATTTCTGTCAGATTTTTTTCACCCTCATGTCATTTAAAGAGTGTTTGACTTATTTCTTCAGTGAAACACAAAGGAAGATATTTTGAGAAATGTGTACACTGCTCTTTTCCGTGTAAGGAAAGTGAAAGTAAGCATTTCCTTTTGCATTCCAAGAAAAAAAATAAAGTCAAGCAGGTTGAGGATGACACAAGGGTAAGCTGGTGAAGACTGAATATTTATTTGGCACGTAAACTATCCCTTTAACTTGTATTATAAGTTTTTTCAACAGAATATCTAATACCGGGTTCAGACTACATGATATCAGCCCGACTTAAGCAAAATCCATTTGACATAGGGTGTTGTGGTGATTCATTAATGACAATGGCAGAGTAAATAAAATATAAATGTGGCGATACCGAGGGCACTTCAGAAATTCGGTCAGTACTGGATTAGCATTTAGCTAGCAGATCATTTTTCATTTATTATTCTCCTTTGCTATAATGTGGACGGAGCTAAAAAGCTTTTCAGAGCGTGTTGCTTTTTCCGACTCTCTGATTGGTGTAATCTTTGGTAGAGCATCATGGGTGATATGTGGTTTTTCCACCAGGAATTACAATCATATTAAATACGATTGTTTAAAAAATAAGCTGAAATAATGCAGGCTGACGGCTTCAGCAGAAGCAAATACTATCGGTTAACAACCTCAAGGCTCAGTAGGACTGCTTTTAAAGGTTTATAAGTTATCATTTAAAGTCAATTTCTGGCAGCACTTTATTTTACAGTCCTGTTCCCCATGTACATTCTATGTACTTATTAGAGTAGTTGTAATAACTATGTAAAAACTAGGTAAAACCCTGAACCTACATCTAAACCTAACCTTAACCTATGTAGTTACATTATATTACTCAGTACATTGTAAGCACAAGCAAGTGCACGTACTGTAAAATAAAGCGCAACTCAATTTCCGTATGGAGAATTTGTTTTTTTTTCCGGAAAATGACTGTTGCGCTCTATTAATTGTTTGTTTACGCTCGTTTCCAATCAGTCACCTATTTCCACTTTCTCAATGACATCACACACGTCGTTAAAAACGCCAAACGATGACTGGTCGGGAAGTAACGTGTAGTCTGGCATGTTTTTTGTTCACGACACAACGAGATTTTAGGAGTCAAAATCTCATAATCCACTGTAACAGACAAAAATATTGTGTAGTCTGAATCTGGCATAAGATACATTCAAAAAAATCACAGTTCAGCAAATCTGGTTAGGGATCAAATGAATCAAGCTGTTTGAAATACATAAAGACCAAATCAGGGAAAACTGAACAGATAGACAAACACGAGGACAAAAAAACGGGTTTCAGATCACCTCAATAAGGTTCCGCACGTGGGCATTGAGTGAGAGCTACACAGAGGGACAGTCACCACGGCAACAAGACAAAACAAAACAAAAACAGACATCAACAAAAAAAGATAAATGAGACAACAACATGGTTTTGAACTTAAATACACACAAAAAGGTCAAATTATACAAAAAAAGACCAAAAGTTTCGTTAGGCAAAATATTGATACGGGTTGAACACAAAGGAACAAAGTGATGTTAAAGGACCATGTGTTACTACAACGACGGACATGCTACGGTCATGCCGCTACGACTATGCTACTGAGCTCATGCTTACCAGCTTTAGAGAGAGCTTCTCATGGGCGAAAAGAGAGAGCGATCGAGGGAAAGAACCAAGAGAAGAGAGAAAACATCAGAGGGAGAAACATCAGACCGCTGTACACGTCATACACACACATGCAGGTGTGTTCATGTGTTATGATGATGTCACCGGTGAAGCTCACTACATCACCTCACACAATTCACATATTTTGTGCTCCATCATAATATAAAATTTAGCTGAAAGCCTCACTTTGGCACATGAACGAGGAAAATATCACATTAGCGGAACTACGAGCCTTCTAAATACATTCGGTCACTTAGGCCGTGTGTCCACTAAAGCATGAAGCTCTGAGCGTCTATTTATAGTTTTTTCTGATGGTGGAAAGTTGAAAGTTTCCACTTTGGGTAAAACGCAGAGCTCATCACTGTCACATTTTTTAAATAAAGACTAAGAGAAATAAGAATAAGAAAAATGAAGACTTTAAATAATAATAGATATTTTGTACTGGCCATTAATTAGTTTCTTTTTGCAAAACCAGCCATTTATGACACCAAAAGTTTAGATAGCAGTGAAGAAAATTAACAATTCTCTATTCTAATTTCAATAGCACAGCTAAAGCTACTAGCATCAATTTAAAACATCATTAAAGACAAGTACAGTAGTTTTTAGGTAGAGACACTGAATAAAGCAATCAAATGTAAAATATCACTGGATAGTCTTAACTGTATAAATTAAACAGATTAATTCATATTAAATTTTCCAAAGTTATTCAGTCGAGAGCAATGAGTGATTTTTTCTTTGCCCTTTATTATTTGATTAACATTAAAAACGCAGGTAGCAGCAGGAATATTAGGATGCTGTCACTTTAAGACCTAGGCCTAATGCACAGATCCAGTATATTGATACACATGCGTTGTCTTTCAACTGTTTACGTTTACTCAAGCCCTTACCGACTGTGTTTACTAGGATTCTCGCCGAGACATAATTTTGTATGAATCTGTCCATTCAAGCGCAAAAAGACGTGAAACAGAGCTCATGTCAGTATTTGCACGATGTTTGGCTAAATTACTTTGGTGGACACATGACTTTAGAGGGAGTTTCATTTTGTTTTAAAACCTTTTAAATATTCCAGAATGTTCTACATTTTTGTTTAAATGCACAGAGGAGGTTAAGTTGATAATTTAAATAATGTGATATTAAAAAATGTGCAATATTGTACCCCATGATGCAACAACGTTTTGTATTAGTATTGTATTCGAGAGAAACTGATATGCAATGGGAAAAAATAGGATGCAATTTGATTTTGTTCCATGAGGAATTTTCCTGATGCAGTGAACTTCAGCAGGGACCAATGAACCAATTATTACACAGAAAGTTATAGGGTCACATGAGGATGACATCATCAGTCTAACGCAATAGTCAGCCAACAAACAGAACACGACAGGGATAGGTGTACAAGAGAGAAGACAGAGGAAAGAGAAAAGAAACAAAAATGAAACTATAATAGATAGGCTCGTTTTTGAGACTGCCATCACAACAGAGAGGATTCTGGGTAATTGTACCCGAGTATAGATCTCAAATCAAAACTACTTATGAAGAAAAGGTATAAGTGTGGTAAAATGTGAAGTAAAAGTCTAGTTTTAACCGTGTAATAAGTCGGTGAACACCTGAGATTACTAAATGATTAATCATTAGAAAATACAAGGCATGAAAACATAACATAAACTGAGCATGTATGTATATATATAATAATAGTCTACTCTAATTTTAATGAAGCAGTGAGGGCAACACTCTGATTTTGAGAAACCTTTCTTCGAAGCTTCATAAGACTTTACAGAAATTTAAAGGACATCATATTTTAGGGTGCTCAAACTATGGAGCTATTGTCTGAAGTTTGGACAAATGTATTTTGACAAACGCATAAACACACTGACAGGACGTACGATTCCACATGTTTAAACACTTCTCAAAACAAGATGTAAAATTCAACGTGTTTATAACGGACATAGATAGCAAATACAGACGAGATTGTTTGCGTGAACGTGATGCACAACATCCAGTGTATCAAAGCAGCGAAATGACACCAAAAGGGGTGAATTCTGAATGTATCTTGTGTGTGATAAAGTGTTACGAGCACCGGAAGGGTCAAAGTTGATCGTGAATGCGCTAGGCTGGCATTCAGAAGTCGCACTCGTGACACTTCGAGAATTAACCCCTCCCACACAAGCTGATTTGCTGCCAGAGCACAGGGGCGGAGCCAGGCTGCTGGGGTTGCACATGGGAGGTGGGGTCAGAAGCCAGAAGAGCCAATAAGAGAGTCATTTGATGATGATGATGAAACTTTTTTCAATTACAGATGCATTTTAATACTGAATATCAGACATTAACCTCATTCAGGGGATGAGATTCATGAAGAATACATGTTATGTAACTGAATATAACTGAATTCATAGATATTGATTTATTCATAAACACATTCATTTAAACAAAACCAAAACACTAAATGAGGTTAAGTCTGTTAACTGTATTTTTACTCTATATCTCATCATTCAAGCGCACACACACGCCACTTAATATCATAGACATCTATTGTTTTAAAAATATAAATGAAATATAAATATATAATATATAATGTATAATGCAAAATATTTATTTAGCTTTCAAAAAGAGGTTGTCGTCATATTTAGCTCACTTCTTCTATCTAATACACTTGTATATCTAGAGTAGTACATCTGAATAAACCCACACACACTCTTGCCTCCTCTCACACACTTACGACATATTGCCTGGCCTCGAAAGCATACGTAGGCCGACCGAGAGTCCTCTTCATGATTTCTTTATTATAATAGAGAGACTGGGCAGACTGCAGCAAAGAATAAACCCTAATTAAACGAACTCACACGAAACTGTACAAACAGACACACAAACACACGCACACACCCCGTGACTCAACAAACACTTTTAATACAAAAATACACAAGGACAAACACACATACTTGCACATTTTTTGCTCACAAACCAGCAAACAAATACAATTCAAACCCACACACACACACTATCAGGCACCAAGACACACTGACATTATTCTTCACTGATTATTATGGTCTTACATCATAAATATTGTATTTAGTGAACCCACATATGTGACTTGGGTCACATACTTGAGCCAAGTATGTGACGTGTTCTAGCGTAGACAGCAAAAAAACAAACTTATTTTTTTATTAATAACAATTCCAACTTCTTCAATAATAATGCTCTAATACTAACCTGTTCAAACATTTGGGATTGGTAAGATAAATAAATAAGATAATAAAAATAAGTCTCTTAAGCTCAACATGGCTGCATTTATTTGATAAAAAATACAGTAAAAACAGGAATATTGTGAAATATTACTACAATTTCAAATAAATACATTTTCTATTTGAATATATGTTAAAATGTAATTTATTCCTGTGATCAAAGCTGTATTTTCAGCATCATTACTCCAGTCTTCAGTGTCACATGACCCTTCAGAAATCATTCTAATATGATGATTTGCTGCTAGAGAAGCATTATTGATTATTAACAATGTTGAAAACTGTTGCGCTGCACAATATTTTTGTGGAAACCGTGATACATGTATAAGGTTATAAATGTCTTTACTGTGACTTTTGATCAATTTAATGCATCCTTGATGAATAAAAGTATTAATTTCTTTAAAAATCTTACAGTCCCCAAACTTTTGAATGGTAGTGTACATCAAATCATGTCAGCCATGAACACACAAGCCAGGAGTACAAATGGAGAGAATGAATGTGTCAAAGACCTTGATATGTTTAGCTTAAATTCTTTAAGATGTTCTCATCTGCGCTCTATTACTCTATTTATAACACCCTTGTTTCTTTCACCGTGACCTGATTTATGCCACTAGCTCTAATGTCAGTTAAGCTCACATCGTGAGTGTGTAAGTTATGTGGAAAACTGAAAAGAGTAGGGTGAGCTTAACCGGGCACTTCCTGTCTGATGGATACACAGACAAAAATAGGAAAGGATAAATCTGTTCTGATTTTCTATTCACTGACCATCATTCCTTGTATATCAGTGAGCTGAACAGAGTGTGTACATTGCAAAAAGATAAGAACGTGTGAGATTTGCACAGGCACATGGGAAACTGGGGTTTGCTGCGTTATCTGTTGTTTTGTCCCTGTTATCAAAGAGAGTCATTTAAAAGTCCGAATCTCTGCTCACACACACGGAAACATGCGAACGGCCTTCCTGAGGGGAAGGTGAATCTGGTCGGATTTGATCAGAAAGTCACATGTCAAGTGTTTGTGTAAATACAAGACATTGTTTCCGAATGTTTGTGTACATGTAATCGCATTTATCAGGATAAACCTTCATGTTTGAGCACCCGTTTTTAGTTTATCTGTCACTGCAGGGTCCCTTCGAGGCCTCCTGACTGGCGCCCATGAATGTTGAGTGCATAATTGTGTTTGTACGTAAGACAGAGAAACCATGATAAACGCAAACAACGAAACATAAAAGAGAGAAAGAGAGAGAGACAGACTGACAGAGAGAGAGAGAGAGAGAGAGGCAGAGTGAATTTCATTGGCTGTGTAAGGTGGAGGAAAAAGGAGCCGAAGGACATAAACAATTCCACTGCCACTTCCAGAATCTAAGTCACTGCATGACATCATCGCCTCAGGAATCCGAGTCACTCTATGATATCATCGCTTCCGAATCTAATGTTGTCTTCAAGTCCTTATAGGTCGTAATTTAGTAATGTGTAGTCAAATTTTGGTAGGAAAAACATTCCAATTTCACATTTCCACTAAGACAGGAAGCACTAGTGTAACAAAATAAAGCAAATAATAATATAACTTAATAAAATATAATTTAGTTTAATATAATTTTATATATATCAATATAATATAATAATCAAATTTAAGCTTTTTTGCAAAAATTCTAAATTGCTATTTTAGTGTTGTTAGTCAACAAAAACTACTAATTTAAATACATTAGAAATAAAATAAGATTAAACTTAAAAAAAATAAATCTAAAACTGAAAATATAAATATAAAAATCAAATTAAAAATAATAATACTTATGACAGTAAAATGACTAATTAATTGGGACAGTGATTCTTTGTAATTAAAAAATATAAATACATACCAAATGTACTGAAAATAAAAAAATTAAGGTTCTTAAGAAAAAAATTCAAAAAAGATTTTTTAATATTTTATTAAATTTACAGGCAAATTTACAGTTATTAATAGTCTTAAAAAGTAGGAAACATAATTAAAGAAACAAAATTGCTAATATAACCCTTGTATTCTATATTCTATTCATTAAAACTATTGAACAATTGTTAAATAATAAATAAATATATTTTATATATATATATATATATATATATATATATATACTGTTTATTAAAATTAGGGTCAATTTATATATATATATATATATATATATATATATATTTTTTTTTTTTTAATCCCAATATTCATCCTAGGGAACATTTTATCCTAATAAAATTCGAAATCATCCTATGGCACAGAAAAGTTCTCTTAAATATTCACTCAAATGCGATCATTCAGTCAAGCCTCGTGACTCAAAGGCAGCATTACTCACATTATGACATCAAAAACGGGTTTTATATTTAGATTATGATGTAAAAAAAAAAGCTGAAATGATCATTCGGCTCCTTTTTTCCATTATCCAAACGTACACTGACATGACAGCACAGGCGATGACAGGCAAAGAGCGGCGCACGCGCACACTTACATGAACACACAGATGTCGAACGCCAGCATGCACGGATACTTACCCCTCGCCGGAGGCTCCTGAGGCAGTGCATTTTGGGCTTGGAGGTCATGAGGTCGTTGAATCGGTGGGACAGGGGCTCCTTGGACTGTTTGGGGGTCTGGGGAGTGGGGCAGGGGTCAGGGGTCACAGCAGAAGGTGAGGGAGGATCAGGGGGGGGCTGGCGAGGTATGGGGGATGTTAACAGGGACATAAGCTACCGGTAAGACACGTGCCACAGAGCAGCGACCAGTGAGTGTGAGAGATTTACAGAGAGAGAGAGAGAGAGAGAGAGGGTGGGGACAAAATCGATCCAGAAAGAGGTAAACAAAAAAGGAGGGGGAACACAAAACAAGAGAAATAAGGACCCAAAAATGTTACAGAACTAAAGCAACGAATTAATCAATTAATCAATTAATAAAACAAAGGAAAAATAAAATAAAACGGAACGTAAAACAAATGCCAACTGAAAGAAACACGCTGCAGCTGTGGTGTTGTTAACCCTGTGAGCGAGAGAGTTAGTGCGATAAACTCAGTTCGGGATATCAGGGGTCACATGCAGGGGTCAAATAACTGCAGAACCATTTAAAGGGACAGTTCACCCAAAAAATTAACAGTCTGACATCATGTGAAGGACTTTTGCTCTTCCCTGGAACACAAAAGGGGATGTTAAAGCTGCTTTTTTCAATATGATGGAAGTCGATGGGGACCATGGTCTGTCAAACTTTAAAAAAGGCAAAAATCCCAATAAAAGTAGTACATATCGATGTACTAGATCTGTAAAACTGTGGCTAGAGAGGTTTCCAAGAATTTTTCGCCTTTTTGGAGCTTCACAGGCATTGTTCATCATCTATTTTCATTGTAATGTAAAATAGCAGTGTGAATATTCCTGAAATGTCCTCTTTTGTGCTCCATGGAAGAAAGAAAGTAAATGATGAGAGCATTTTAATTTTTGGCTGAACTGCCCCTTTAACAAACATCACATGCACAGCACACACACACTCTCTCTGCTCTAAAGTACAAAAAATGTATTTCAGGTCATCCATTTGCTCCTTTTCTCTCTCGCTTTCTTATTAGCAAGCTCCCTAAGGCATAATGGAGAAATTAACGAACGTGCGTTCTGGGACAACTCACATTAACGCTTCAGTTCCCAACAGACAAGAAAACCTAAATCTGTCTTTGAAGGCCGTGACACACCAAGCCGACGTCAAAGAACTAGCAGTGACGAAAGCTGACTGTGTTGTCGCCTCTCGTCGCACTAAAGCACTACAGCTAGCTGGCACCTAGCACCTGCGTGTCAGGAAATAACAGTCTATATCAGCGGGTATCAATATTCATCATTCAAAAAGGCAAACCAAAACTAGGACTGCAGATCTACAAAGCAGCCTCTTCTTATCTTAATATCAATCATGCTTATCGCTTTCTTCATTTTAGCCGGCTCATGTTATTATGAAAATATTAATGTGATGGCATTTTCATCACTCCCTTTTATTCTCATACACTGACTCGTTCACTAAGCTGAACAACCAATCAGAGCGTTCAGCTAACAGACAAAACCCACACCACAAAAACTAGACATTGGCCGACCGTTGGCTTGGTGTGTCTTGCCTTTATGTGTTAGCAAAAATCTACATGAGTGTGTCGAATACCACTGGACATAATTATGACAAAAATGATGCGTGCAATAACGCACTTACAATGCAAGTCCATGCAGCAATGTGTTTCATAAACAGTAGTCTAAAATATATGAGCTGCATATATTTTGCTTTTAATCTTATATTTATATTTTGTTCAATTTCAGCATTATTTCAATTAACTAACATGATTTTGAATCATTTTAAATCAACAATAACACCAGCTCATAGACTTCCTTTGTAAGTGCATTACTATACACACTATTTCTGCTTCTGCTTGCTTTGATTTCCTGTGGTAATCGACAGCATTTCATCAGATGCTGCTAACTTGCACTGAACCCAGAAGATCCCTTTACCAACATACATTAACACAAGAAAGCCTCTTATAACCCTCTGGAACAATCAAATTTTGTCATATCGTCCGCTTTCAATATGTATTCATGCATAAACACCATAAATCTGATATATTTTTGTGCGTTTAGCTAAATGACCATATATAATTGAATGTGGTTTCTGAGAAAAGACTGTAAAAGTCTCCTAATACTTGTATTGTGTTATTTCTGACCACACACAGAAAACACAGACAGAATAGACGTGAACTGACAAACACACAGGCTATGATTGGAACAGCATTCCACGCACTACTCGTACAAATTACAAAGTAAACTAAGCGCAATATTCAAATCTAGTACTCACATGGCCTACTGTACTTCATTTGCCAAAATGTGCAGTATACAACAAAGCCCACAACATGGATAACAATATCCCATAATGCAATGCGCCAATGTTCCATTTTTACACACACTGTTACACAAAACTTGACTAAAAATGTAAAATAATCATATTTATTTATAAGATAACAACTGGGCGCCAAATTAAACATAATGTGATGAGATCATGTGACAACTGCATTTGTGTACTACTGTATCGTTGCATAATGTTTCATAAACATAAATTTATTAAGAAATACACTACCGTTCAAAAGTTTGGGGTCGGTAAGATTTTTAAATGTATTTGAGTCTCTTCTGCTCACCAAGGCTGCATTTATTTGATCAAAAATACAGTAAAAACAGTAATACTGTGAAAAAGTAAATTTAAATGTAATTTATTCCTGTGGTCAAAGCTGAATTTTCAGCATCATTACTCCAGCCTTCGGAGTCACATGATCCTTCAGAAATCATTCATTTATGCTGATTTGCTGCTAAATAAACATTTTTCATTATTATTATTATTAGGGATGCACCAAAATGAACATTTTGGCTGAGACCGATAACCGATAATTATTTTTATATGAAAGCCGATAATCGATATATTTTGGAGAGCCTGATTACAAAACAAAAGTCTCACCATTAAAAGCTAGTCCCAAGCACAATTATAATGATGTTCTCATTATAATTTTATGTAGCCTATATGAAAGACTTAAATGTATTTTCCTTTTTTGAAGTGAGTCTAATCATATTTCAAGGAATTCAAAAATATAAAGCATCTCAGCTGAAGGAAATAATCCATTATCAGCTTTAATATAACATTGAAAAATGAAAATACATCGTCCGATACCGATATGATGGCCGATATATCGTGCATCCCTAATTAATTATATATCGTGCTGCTTCATATGTTTGTAGAAATCGTGACCAATTTCATTCAGGATTCGTTGATGAATAGAAAGTTCAAAAGAACGGCATTTATTTGATATAAATCTTTTTTAACGTTATAAATTGATTCACTTTTGCTCAATTTGATGCATTCTTACCGATTAAAATAAAAAAATACATCCTACCGTCACCAAACATTTAAACGGTACTAAAAAATAGTAGGCAGTACACACTATATACTGCACAGTATGAAATACGCAATACAGTAGTTTTCCATTCTGCCCATAGCCATACAGACACACCTCAAAAAATAACGTATCAGTGTTAATGCTCACATCCTGGTCCTGCGAGGTTAGGCGGGGTTCGGACTGAGCATGCTCAGTAAGAGTGGAGCCTTTGACACAAATGTCAAAGGTCACAAGAAGACAGAGGAAGACGAGGAGAAGGAAGAAGAATGTGGTTACCATGGGAACAGCAACGATGAGTGAAGGAAAGAAGAAATTCCCTTTCGGTTTGAAAGGACAATACAGAAATAAGCGTTTAGGGTTACAATTCTCTGCGATGTCAAAGGTCAAAGGTCAAAGGTGAGGCCTCTCGGGCCGGTGCATTAGTACGTTATCGGTGGAGTGTCAGGATGAACAAGGAACGTTTGTATTTTCGTGCAGGGCAGGGAAAGGAGAGGAGAACGATGGTGGCAAACGAATAACAGCATCTACAAGTACCACAATAAAACTAGACAAACACAAACAACCTACACAAATGAAAATAACCAGCACAAACTAAAAACAAAACTCGCATAAACACATGAAACAATCTTTTTTAAGAGCTTTCAGATCAGTCTGTCTCTATTTTTGCTTTCCTATTTATTTAAATGTAGTTTTCCGGTCAAATCGAAGTAACTGCGAGCGAACGCAGTGAGTGTGTGTGTGTGTGTTACCTTGTTTTTCTTAATGAAAGGCCATAGAGTTTTGCTTTTGCCCTTGCTGGAACGCTCGGATTTGTTGTCCGAGCGCGAGTTATTGAGGCTGGTCTCGGACACCGTCCTCTTCATCGCCTGACCGTAGTCTTCAAACTCCACATCGCCAGGAGGCTCGAACCCAGACTTATACGACTCAATGACCTGAGAGGAGTCCTGCAGGGGAAAGAAAGCATAGATAGGGACTTCACATTGATTTCTATAGATTTTGTATTGCTCTAAAATAAACCGTTTCCCAAAAAAATTATACTTTGAGGTTTTGACAGATTAAAAGCAACTATCTTCCTTTGCTTTGACCTTTGAGTGTTGTAACTTTGTTGTTTAAGCTCAAACAGCAACATTACACAATAACTAAAGTTAGAAAAGTGAAATCATATTTTACCATCCCTTTAAGACATTCCACAGCCTTATTTTCTCTTCTATTAAAACTGTACCTGTGCTGTGGCGCTAGACCCGGTCGAGAATGAGACTGTATGAGTGTGTTTACTAACGTTCTTGGGTTCAATGGATTCGGCCACTTGTGTCATTCCATCCAGGCATTTCCCGATGATGGGCAGAATCTGTCGGTCGACCTCGGCAAACGTTTTCAGCGACTCGCCCATTCGCTCTATTCTCTTCTCCTCCATCGCCTGGATCTTCTGCTCACAACACACACACACAGAGGTAAAGAGTTACTGTGTGTATTTCTAAGTACCGTAGAGAGCTACAAAATCAGCAATTGCACCAGCATTTCGGGGCATGTACGGTACGCTGTTAACTCATTTGCATAATTCAGCCAGTGCATGCAAATAAACAACAACATCAGTAGACAGAATTCATTCTCAGTGGATGTTTCTATGTGTGTGTGCGTGTGTGTGTGTGCACCTGGAAAATGTTAGGGATGATGGTGTAATAATGTTCGTTCTGTTCCTGGTTGAACTTCTGCAGGTATGAGGAATATTCATTCTTGCTGTCAGAAGCCATCTGGTGTCTCATCTGAGCCTGCTGCCGTGCCTGAGAGAGAAAGAGAATGAAATATAATTGATTTTGCATTGCAATATTATTCAAATATATAGTACTTATACCCCTAAAAGACACATAAACCTAAACACATAAGGTGCGTCCCAATTATGAACTATTCTATGCTGTTTTGTGTAAATAGTGCGATTAGTGTGTTCACAATAAAAAAATCCAAATAGAATAAGAACACTTTAAATACCCGTATAAATAACCGGAAAAATGTGTTGAATGTTGGACACTTCATGAATTATCTTTCACAGCTTTAATTATGTAGGAGAGGGGCTTCAGACTTCGATGTTTAACGACAAAATAACCTTATAAATTTCATACCCTGTATGGATAAGTTCAAAAAAATCTTTGCGTTTTCCCACGTCTGTATGACAAAACATTCCCATTAAAACTAGAGCTGTCAAGCGATTAATCGCGATTAATCGCATCCAAAATAAAAGTTTGTATTTACATAATATATGTGGGTGCACTGTGTATAATTATTTTGTATGCATATAAATACACACACATGCATGTGTATTTAAGAAAAAAATATTATTTATATATAAAATATTTATATTTATATATAATATAAATTATATAGTATATAAATCTATATACAGTATATACATGAAAATATTTCTTAAATATATACAAGCATGTGGGTGTATTTATATATATATAACATCATTTTACACAGTGCACCCACATATATTATGTAAATACAAACTTTTATTTTTGGATGCGATTAATCGCGATTAATCGTTTAACAGCCCTATAATCCACTCATAGTCATAACCAATTAGATTCTAATTATTAGAACATATCTGATGTTTAATATACAGATATGCGGAATGAGATTTTTGACCAATGAGATTTCACGGAGGGCGGGGCTAATGATGCAGAAATTAACAAAAAGACCACACGCAATATTGAAAGTCTCAAAGACTTCCCCTAAACTCACACACATACAAATATATGCACATATGCAACCTCAAAATACACATTAAAATGGTTCCTGACTCACACATCAGAGTATCATCACCTTAAGCTTCATTCACATAGACGTATTTATAACTAATTCACACTTAAGTGTCAAAAAGCAGCTATGTCGTACGAGTGAAAAGATCAAATAAAACTAGACTATATAAACACCCACTGCTCAAGAGCTCTTGTGGGTTGAAATAAAAAAATATGTACAAATGCATTTTAATGCACATCATTTAAGTGAGAGAACGATACAGAGAAAGCAGAGTCATGTTAACCACATCCTGATGCGATTCTAGGAAATCACACTGGTTAACCTGAGGTTCAGTGTTGCCATGGAAACACACAGACTCCACTCTCATCAACAGCAGACGAGAGAATAAGCGGATGGGAAGTTTAGAAAATATACCCTAAAAATTACATTTGCTCTCACTGGAAATTTATCCAAAAAAAAAAAAAAAGTCAGACGTTTTTACAGATTTATTGATGCAATTAGACTATTTAGATAAAAATGAACTATGCCATATCACTCACTGCTTGTGCATTACAATACGTTTAAGAATATTGTCTTAAAAAATCTTTACATAATATTTATAATTTAAAATGTATAAATATATAAAACATAATTTTATATATTATCATTTATCTTATATTTTATTTTTATATTATTATTTATATTATTAAGATGTATATAAAATATTTTTTGACATTACATTTAAATATTCTTATATTTAAGAAAATACATTGCAATGCACAAGCACTGTGATATGACAAATAAAATAAATACATATTTATTAAATCTTAAACACAATATATACATATACTGTATATATATATTAATATTAATTATACATATTAAAAATATTACAATATTTTTAAATACAATTTAAAACTAATTTAATTTTTTATATTGCTATATTATATTAAATAAATAAAAAAACAATTTAAATATTTTGTGAAACTCATGTGGACACAGCAAGACGACCAGATACTGATGATTCCTAAACACACACAAACTGTAATATGGAGAGCTGACATTTATATATAGGCCAGCAGAACAGAAAGCTTTGAGATTTACATGTTTAAATATTCATGCCTGGAGCGATGTGACTTGTGGGGTAGAAGCGCAGACAAACTTTAATCAAGCCTGTGATTGGGTGGCCGTTCAGCAGGTGTGTCGTGTGGGCGTGGCCATGGCTGGACAGGAAGCAACAGTGTCCTGACACACAGACACACACACACACACACACACAGACCTGCCACGGTGCACCTACCTTAAGGTAACATCGCTTTACGGCATGATATAAAAAAGACAAATATACACATTAGTTAGCTTAGACTACTAATGAGTTAATGGTTAAATCTGCACCGTATCATGACAGCGACATATCTAAAACTAAACGCTCGACTAAACCACACCACCCTTGAACACACAAACACACACTGGCTGCATTCAGAATGAAATACAAGCAATACTGCTTCATGCACACTTCAATCGTAACTGTATCTATATCATATTGTAACTTTCAAACTGCAGGACCTTATTATGTTGTGTTTAATTCAGTGAGTGATGTCTAAATATGTCTTCACTTTTGGCAGTATGAACTAAAAAAAAAAAAAATCTATAAATGAGTCATAAAAAAGATACAAATTGCGGTTGATATTTTAACTTGCATTGTAGGATGCATTTCTGCATTTCTCTGGTTATATATGCAAAATTCAAATAAAGTAGACAGTAAATTGCAGAAAAGGCACGAATTGTACAGTAATATACTATGCTGAATGCATTTCAGACACTCTCTTTTGTACCTTGACTGACACTGACACATCTGTCTACATTAAAGAGGACCTATGCCCTTTTACAGACTCTTAATTAATTAATTTTGTTTTGGGGAATGACTGGAATAAGTTTTCACACTAGAATGTTTTTTTTTTTTAAGTAAATATTGCAGCTCCTCTCTTCCCATTGACATATACACTAGACGTCACCTTGGGGTTCTAAGCATGCGTCCAAACCGCCGCCATCTTGGAACAGGGGTCTAGCTAGGTAACGCTGCTATCTCTGCCTTTACTTCGAATTAATTGATGGTAGCAGATTTTGTGCTGTGTATGATGTTCACACGAATGAAATCTGAACTAGGAAGGTTTTTACGTTTTTTTTTTTTCTGAAATCAATGATAAATACATGTCTGACCGTTGGAACTAACCAAAAAAAAGGGGAAAATCGCATTCACGATGATTTATGGAGATTTTATTTCCGTTAGACCCTAGTCTACATTGACGCTGATGCATTAAAGTGGAGGGACTCCCCCGTTCCAAGATGGCGGCTCTATTGACGCATTCGTTCTAATGAACAGCCGTAGCCAAGGCGACATCTAGTGTATATATATGCTCTCTTCCCAGTCTGTCAGTAACGCTCTGTTTAGTTCCTGTCTCTATGAAGCCCCTCCTTCTGAAAAGCACAATGTGCTCTGATTGGTCGGCTGGATAAGTGTGTTGTGATTCAGTCACGTGATTATGATGACGTGTGGAATTCAGATGGAGGGCAGGGAGTGAAGAGCAATGGACGAGATGGAGGAAAATCCATACTGTACTACTTTACACGCTATTACAAGAGAAAGAAATAAACAAAAAAATCAAACATGTTGGATATGATCCTTACGTTATGAAGAGGAGCGATTTTTCAACTGAATTTAAATATTTTCCATATTTTACTTTGACCAAGTCTGGAAACATTACACAAACAGTCACTTAATTTGTATTAACTCACCTTTGACGAAGTGATCACTAACGTTACACACACACACTTTCCCATTAGGCTCCTCCCGGCCGCAGACATAGGTTTGCAAGCCGTTTTTCCAGAGTTTTTCGATCAATTTCTTGCATTTCCCCCTTATGAACAACAACTTTTGGTAGACGATCAAAACTCCGCTTGTGGTTTGATCGATTCAAGTAGCCATAAATGACTCAAAACACAGGCATTTTGAGTTTGTTATAGTGCTTTCTAAATACAGGAAATGACTTCCTGCCCTCCATTTGTATTTTGCGCCATGGCAACGCAGTGGTGTGACGTCATATGAAAACAAGCTATGAAGTGTGTTTCAGGAACGTCACTCCCCTTACAATAACCTTGACATTTAACACACTACTAACTAACTCAACCAGACCCAGTCCCCTTTATTTTGCATATGTCTTGGGCTGGAAAATTGTGACGTGTTCGTTCCAGGAAGAAATCTCAAAACGTACAATGAATGAAGACGTTTCAGGGAGTTCAGAAACAGTGACACTGATATAGAGAATAACTCCCACTGGAGGGACTTTTCAGACCCATTTAAAAAGCATAATAGGTCCTCTTTAACAGATCTGCAAGTTTGTTTGTTTTTTACATGCATTTGACTTTTCGGAGACACTCACACATGCTACCTAAAAGATCTCGACTTCCTCAGTATCTGACCGCTAAATGACAATAACACTCAAGATTCTGGACTCCTGGAAGCAGGCGCTCTTTTCCACATCTGAATACTTTCTCTTTGTTCTACACAAGCTATCATACAGACATCTGCCGAGCACACGCTCTGGAACAAAGAAAGATTAAAAATGAGCAAGGCTCATCGAAAGCGCAGGCGATGTTTCCAGTCCTGTGAGACTCCACAGTCCCACACACACGCACACACACGGTCGAGTTTCAACACAATGCCACGGCAGCAGTGTGAGACAGTGAGGGATGTGTTAAGATGAAGTGAAGAGAAAAACAGACACATGTGTGAATCACTGGAGATGTATCACTCAATTTTGTATAAATTAAATAACACAAATAGAGGTGATGACATAAATGACATCATGATCAGATGAATTACAGATCTATCTATAATGATAGATAGATAGATAGATAGATAGATAGATAGATAGATAGATAGATAGATAGATAGATAGATAGATAGATAGATAGATAGATAGATAGATAGATAGATAGATAGATAGATAGATAGATAGATAGATAGATAGATAGATAGATAGATAGATAGATAGATAGATAGATAGATAGATAGATTTAGTGGTTTCTACATAATTATATTTGATCAGGTCTGCAAACAAACACACACACACAGCCGGTCTTACCTTCTCCACGTCTGCTTTCGTCACGTTGATGTCTGCGTCCATCTTCTCAAAGTACTGCTGGGCTCGATCTGCTTCTTTACAATCCCGCTCAAACTTTCGCTTACACTGTGCACACACACACACACACACACACATGTGTTAAAACATGCATAGGTCTAGATGAATGTACTTACAGATGTTATTCTGATGCAGAACATTCACTTCTTAATTAGCACACTCTCACATGTAACCGCCAAACACATGTGTGTGTGAAGTTCTGCCGTACAATAAACCATCATGCAAAATCACATTGTTTATTCTTCATCTCTCTCTTGCACTCATTTATTTGAAGGGACAATCAACATTTGTGTCCACACTGACCATTGAATCACCCGATCACGCAAACACACACAATGAGATCATTCTTGCACACTGACACACACAGGCAGTGCTCTCTTCTCTCTCTCTCTCACACACACACACACACACTGAATCAACAAACACAGCCAGAAGACGGCTAACAACAACACAATCCATCTCAAACGCCACACACTCTGCAGACAGTGGGCGTACAGAGTAAAGTCGTGATATATCCTGTCTGGTTCAGTGTCTGTGAAGTCCCTCTGATCACTCACACACACACACAAACACATAATCGAGTCTGACACCCAAGTTTAGATCACTTCTCTAAAGAAAAATGACCATGGATATCTTTTTTGGTAAGACCATAGTATTCATTGATATACTTTGACGTAAAGCATGATATGTGAACATGCAAATCATTCAGTATACAGATAAAGTTTGATTAAAATAAAAAAAACATACATAAATACAATAATAATGTTATAATATTTTAATATTATAATTTAATTTGTATTAAAATATTGTATTGAACAATACAAAATTAAATACATTTAGTAAATAAAAAATAAATACAGTATTAATGATATTTTTATTTATAAATTAATTATTTGATTCTATTTTAATAATTTAAATATAGTATTGAACAATGCTAGTTTAATCAAATTTAAAAATTACAAGAATAAATAAAACATTAGTATTATAATAGTATGGTATACAACTTAAGCTTAATTAAATATAAAAAAACATACATAAATACAATAATAATGTTATAATATGTTAATATTATAATTTAATTTGTATTAAAATATTGCATTGAACAATACAAAATTAAATAAATTTAGTAAATAAAAATAAATACAATATTAATAATATTTTTTAATTTATAAATTCATTATTTAATTCTAATTTTATAATTTAAATATAGTATTGAACAATGCTAGTTTAATCAAATTTAAAAATTACAAGAACAAATAAAACATTAGTATTATAATAGCACAGTATACAGCTAAAGTTTAATTAAATATAAAAAACCATAAATAAATACAATACAATATTCTCATATTTGTAATAATATATATATATATATATATATATATTAAACTTTTTAAATATTTTAATGCATTATTCTGTATTGAATAATGCAAAACAAAAGCCTTTTCACTTAGGCACCATTGTATATCAAAGTATCGATTTTTTCTGGATTATCGATTCATTATTGATTTTGGCTGAACTCACCGACTCCAGCTGTTTCCAACTGGCTTCGACCTGTTGCTGTGCCTTCCGTCCATCATGGAAATGCTGTGAGAGAGAAAGATGTACAAAATGTTGTTGATCTTGTTCACTTGTTCATCACGATTCATTAAGAGTATAAAGCACATAAAAGCAAATACACATTTCCACAAGAAAACGATAATGCACACAAATTGCACTTTCTCTGTTCAGGAGAAGTTCTAAATTATGATTCAGTTCTATATCAGTTTTGTCTCAGATATTCTCCCTAAAATTCCATAAAAAGAGACTAGGATTATTTGAGTCAGTAGATGACAAAGCTAAAAAGTGTTCTTATTGTTAACTAAAACTTAACGTATTAAAAAAAATGTCCATTGAAATGAAGCTGAAATAAAAAATAAAGTTTAAACTTAAAAAAAAACTTGAAAATTAAGTTGTACACTGAAGTACTAAAATGACTAAAACTGAAATAAATATAAAAAACAAATAGTAAAATATATATATATATATATATATATATATATATAGTAAAAATATTGTTTAAAAAACAGCTAATAAAAATGAAAAGACAATTCCTAAAAACCAACAAATGATAACTGAAAATATTACAATAAAATCTCATTCAAAATATAAAAAACAATACAAAAATAACACTGTTCAATAAGATCAGTTTGAGAATTTGATGAGAAATATTTAAGACACTGTTGAAAGATTATTACCGTCTTTTTTACCGTCTGTCAGGTAAATGTTTGTGTGTGTGAGTGTGCGGCCAGGAAGCCATATTGGCATGTTCTGTGTGTATCCTGTGCACGCGCGTCGTCACACTCGAGGCCGTGTGTGTGTTTCTCTCAGCGGCTCCTCTTGGCCTCAGCACTCCAGGGAAAGTGTTCGCTTGGCCAACACTCAAACATCTCTCACACAAAGAGCTCAGTGTGCCACACAGATAAAGACCTGCTTCTCATGCAGGTCTGAGATCAGCTGAAGACGCCAACAGTCATCAGCTTAATAACAACACATGACAACTTAAAGTAGACTAACTTATATAGTTATGTGACATACCAAATCACAAACATGTTTTGCATCCAGAGATGTAAAGAGTACCTGAAACCCATACTTCAGTAAAAGTACAGTGAACTTGACTCCATTACAAAATACAAGTCACTAATGAGTAAAAGTCTTATCTGAGAGTTTCTGTTTTTAAAAGTACTATTTTACTCGTACTGAATGTAGGCTCAGCGATGCACTAGTCCTCAACATCTAAGAGGCCGTTTACACGACACCGCTTTCAACTCAAAACAGAAAACTTTTATGTGCCTTGGTCGTTCATTTACACAACTACAGCGTTTTGGGAGCCTGAAATCGCAACCGGGTTTCGAAGTGCCAGTTTTTGAAAAAGATACTGTTATCCTCTCAGTATAAACTACAAAAACATGAATTTGTGGAAACAGTGACTTCACGCTCATGTGTATTACGTGTTCAGTATATTGAGAGTGAGGACTCACATGCCGATTAGGGCGGGGTCTGAGGCAGTCGGCCATGATAGTAGGAGGCGCTATCGGTTGCCAGGGGCAACGCCTTATACCAGATAGATATATCTGAACCGCAAAATGTTTTTAAAAGACACTTTTTTTAATGACGTACAACTCGAAGTGACAGGCGAATGTCCGATCTGAGTCATATTAGATTTATTTCCACATATGAATGAGTCCTGAAACATTAAGTATGACTGAACTCTCGCAGTTTAAGGTTTGGGGGTTTCTAAGGCCCCGTCCACACTACTGCATTTTCGTTTTAAAAACAGAGACCTTTTGCTACATTTGCACCTCCCGTCCACACTAAAACGGAAAAAACGAAGACCTAAAACGGAGAAGTTTAGAAACGCTGCAGCTCCGTTTTGCGTTTTGAATCTCCGAAGGGCGTTTTAGTGAAGACGGGACAAAACGGCTCAATGATTGAGTGTCATCAGTCATGACGTGTCCTTCCCTGATTTGTCAGCCACCCATCACATGGGTCCCCGTAAAAGTTCCCCCTCGTCATCGGTCCACCAGAATAAATCTCTAGTCGACATTTCTAATCTTTGCAGAAGTAGCTAACGTTACTTTCTTCTCCATCAAATCTGAGGAATAGTCAATCCCTTTCCTGTTCACACCGGCACGCATGCCCATGTTGGTGAATGGTCACATAATCCGCGTTTTCAGTCGTTTTAATGTGAACGGAGATCAATTCTAATACGCAGATAAAACGCAGGTGTGGACGGAGATCGTATTCGTTTTAATTCTCCGCAAACAAATATCAAGCTGCTCTCTCTCTCTGTCGCTACTGCTCTCGGCCTCACTGTCGAAGTAACCATGACAACGGATAGCGTATCCTTCCTAGATGGCGAAGCCTTCCCACAATGCAATGCGGAGTGAACCCCTTGACGTCACGTAGTGTTTCTTTACAAAGTGACATGTTACTGGCTGTTACTACAGTGTTTTTAGATTTGTGTGGAGAGCAATCACGTTTCTTTTGTAAAAATCCAAATAAAACCGAACATCTCAATATTGCAATCAACACAACCGCCTCTTAAATGTCTACAAACACTCAGTGAAGCTCAAATGCTCAAAAAGGGCATTAATAAACCAGATATCCTTCAATATATCGTTTAATCAATTAATTTACATTTTACTTTAAATATTCCTTATTTGTCACTTTGGATAAAAGCATCTGCTAAATTAATAAATGTAACATGTCATTAATAAATTGTACTTTTATTTATTATTTATTTTAATTACAAAAAAATAACAATCCTTAGTAATCCTGAAAAATGAATTCCCTTTAATAATTTGTAGTCTAGTCTAATGTTGTGTGTAAAACACACGGACACCTTCACTGAATGTCAGATGGTCAGATTAGACTCAATATCCTGTTTACCACACAGAGTCAGACTACATAAAATTTCAGCAGAGCATTTACATCAGTGTAATCGCACAACACGACACTGTCCTTTACCACTGGAATATAGAATATTGTTGAATGTTGAATATTTTACTGTATTTGGATAGCACAGTGTATAGGGTTCCTATGACAAATGTAAAATACTTAGTTTGTTAAATGTGTCAACTACAAATCATGTGGTTTCTGACTTCCTGAAGACTAAATGTACATTTTGTGGTTCTGTGACACTTTTAAAACACTGATCTTTTTATTTGACAATATTTACCGTAAAGTACAGCTCAAAAGTTAACACACCCCTTGCAGAATCTGTGAGAATGTGAATATTTTAACAAAATAAGAGGGATAATACAGATTCATACAGAATGTGTGCTATTTTTTATTTAGTACTATCCTAGTAAAAGTAAAATTTGAGCAGCACTGTATATATATTTATATATTTTTTTTTTTTATTAATTTTATTTAGAACATTCCTATTTTATAAATTATTTATAAAATGAAAAATATATATTTATATATTTTAGATAAGTATTACTTAAAGGTGCATTGCACAACATTTCATGTTTAAAATACCAGATTTCCATAACCCATACATGCTTAAACAATTGCCTGATGGGCTGAATGAGCCCTTCTCTGATCACTGCGATTGCCTCTATATGTACAGTAAAATAAATAAGAGGGATTCGGGAAGGATTTTGAGACTGGGCGTGACGTCATTTGACGTGTTTCTATAATAATATAATCATAAGTGGATACAGTAAGCACATAAAACAGTTCAACATGGCGATAGATGGAACTACTACCCCCGATTTCCCCTCACACACACATAAGTGTGTAATTTACTCAAATGCCCTTCCTTTCATATATTTTAAATGATTTATAACTTTATTACCTCTGAAGACATTCTAACTGATGCTCCTTTGATTATGAACAGCTCGTGCAAGTGTGTGTGTGTGTGTGTGTGTGATCCATGAGCGTGCACACCTCCGGTTGCAGTTTCGCTTGTCGCCAGAGGGGGCATAGTTCTGCAAAAACTCAGAGACTTGCGCAATGCACCTTTAATTACATTTTTATAATAAATATTAATAAGTAAATAAGTATAAAATAAGTATTTTACATTTATATATATATTTCTAAAATCCACTTATGTCAAAAATAAGATAATAGTATTGAGTGAATGCTATCCGCACAAAATAATAATCCGCACCTTTTCCAGGCACTCAAAGCGCTTTAAATAGAAGGGGGGAATCTCCTCAACCACCGCCAATGTGCAGCTCCACCTGGATGATGCGACGGCGGCAATAGTGCGCCAGAACACACACACCACACACACCAGCTTATGGTGGAGAACATAGTCATAGTATACCTTCATCAAATACTTTCACTTCAATCTCACTAAACCCCAGCCTCAGCCCATTCAGAAATGTCGGTACTTAGGTAGAAACCTATACATAAGAGCCTGACAAAAAACAATATATTAAAGAAAAATGTTAGACGGTCTTTGCTAAAAAGGCTTTTGACTTTAGGAAGATGTTTGGATCTGTGTATCATGAGCTGCTGCTTCTCTGTACTGACTGAACCAGAATCAGTGAAAAAACGAGTGAATGAATGAAAGAGTGTGAATGTGATCAGTATTCATCACTGAGAATCTTGGCTGAATAAGAAATGCAGGCATGCAGCGTGCGAATAAAACCCTATAGAAAGCATTATGGGTACAAACCCACAGTCAGTCAATAGTGAAGGAGTCCAGTTGTGTCTAGCATAGCGATCAACGCTTCAGAGTGCGCTTTCACAAACACTCATACACACGAAGGTATATTTATCATTATATTATGGTATATACATATACACAAAATGCTACGGCCCATTAAAATAAATTTAGAAGCGGAAATCTACACTCAGAGCTGATCTGGATACAGTCTTTACTATTTCATCCTATCACAGGAAGTCAACCTGTTGACCTCTAGCCGATTTAAAAGATCACGCTTCACTGTTAGAAGAAAAAGAAAATAAATAACAGAGAAAAATATGACCTGATGAACAGATGAAAGAGACAAGACTGAACAATACAGTGCTACTTCAGAGATGATTTGAATAATTTATGCTTCAAACACACACACACACACACACACACACACTGAAGATAAATGCAGACTTGTTTCCCATGGATCAAAAACAGGACAAAGAAAACAGAAAGCAACAGATCTATCTTGAACAATAGCATATGCACTGACATTATAACTCTTCTATTATGCACAAAATAAAATATAAAATTAAAAAAACATAAAACATTTTTGAAATTAAAAACAGAATAAGATAAGAAAATAAAATTAAGTAAAATATAAAATCAAAAAATCAAAAAATTAATTCAAAATAAAATATAAAACATTTGTTCAACTAAAAACAAAATAAAATGAATTATTTTAGATAATTTAACTTTTTTCTAAACTATTTTTATATAAATGTATACTATTTTATACAATTAATAAATTAACTTAAAACACAAAATAAAATAAAAAATTAAAGTAATTGTTTCAACAAAATATTTATTTATTTATTTATTATTTGTATTTATTATTTGTACAATAAAACATTTGTTTAACTAAAAACAAAATAAAATTAATTATTTTAGATAATTTAACTTTTTTTCTAAACTATTTTTATATAAATTTATACTATTTTATAAAATTAATAAATTAACTAAAAACACAAAATAAAATAAAAAATGTAAGTATTTGTTTCAGAAAAATAACTGAGAGCACTGGCTAAATTCACGGCAACGTCCGGGTTTCAATTTCAGAAAAACCTGCTCATGACCGAAACAAAACTAACTGAGGTTGGTCACTTTGCATGTGCCAGTTGTCTCTTCATGTCCGAGAAGGCATTCCTGGCCTGAAAACGACTTAATGCTGTTAGTCAAAGACAGTCTGCCTATGTAAAACCAGTCAGGCCTTTGTCATACAACGGAGTGCTTTTGTTTCTGTTCTTCTCTTGTTCAGCTAGTGACTGAACCTGGATCAGTCTGAGGAACTAAAGCAGCACCTCTCAGGTTCGGGATTTATCACATCCCAGAATAACCTGAACTACTGCTCGGGGCCTACAGATGGAGCTTGTCTCAAACACACACGGCCCAGGCCCAGTGGGTGTACAGCCTCTTCAACAATGGGTTTAATAGAGATTTACAGTACCAGACCATATGCTGTCTGGATTAAAAGCGTGAAAAATCTGAGCAAGACGGTTTGTCATTAATTCTCCATTGCAAAGTGCATTAACTACAAAATAAATACTAGTTTTACATATATATATATATATACTCATACTATATAAATATATATACTCAAATACAGTATCCAAAAATGGCACGTGTGTCTCAAAGCGATGAACAGAGGTAGACGAAAGAGATAGACAGACAATTAAAGCGAGTGAAAGAGGAGGTTTATAAAACAGGAGAGAAGCAGCATTCTGGGAAAACGGCCAGACAGACACCATGGAGCCCTATTTGGTGTGTGTGTGAGTGCTGAATGCTGGGAAATCGGTGTTCTTCAGGTTGATACTAAAATGCCTTCATCTTATTAGATAAATGAAAGATGAACGTTGTGTTCTGACACTGCTCATGTCATTAGTTCAGCTCTGTCTGGACATAAATCGTGGAGTCGACCACCACGAGAGCTCAGTGTCATTCTGGTGATGTTTCTCATCTGTGTGTGTGTTTATGTGGAATGATGAAAACACACACAGACACACAAATGAGAGTAATTCATATACACAAACCAGACACTTTCAGTCTAAACACACAACAGCAGCTCTATTTATGGAAGTGAGGGAGACAGAGTGAGATGTGTGCTATAATCGGACAAAATAGGATCTTTCAGAAGAGAAAACTGTCCTAATAACTTATATACTCGTAAAAAAATAAGGCAGTATATTCACTGTAAAAAAAGAGTTGAGAAAACTTAAAAAGTTTAAGGCAAACAGCTACAGGACATTTTTGAGTTCTCTCAACGTAGGGTCATTAGTTGTACAAACGTTTTCATGTTAAATATTTGAATAAACTTTAAAAACAGAATTTGTCAAACAAAATGTGAGTTGGATTTTTTTACAGTGTTGTTTTAAAGTCCTAAATAAAATGTCAATATTATAATTATATTAAAGTAATAATAATAATATACTAATGTAATGTATTAACAATATGTATACTTATGTATATAATTTTAAACATAAAATTAAAAAAAATATTCAAACGATTATAAAAAGTCATTATATATACTTATATCTAATATTTTTAATTTTATTTATACAGATAAAATATATATATAATAATGTGAATAAACTTTATATACATTTATATACATTATAAATATTATATACATTTATCTAAATAAATTCCTTGATCATTAGGTCTTTATATATATTATATATATTTTTTATACATTGTTAAATATATTGAGTGATTAAAAGATTAAGGGCTTTTCTTAAACCAAAAGATAATTTTATTACAATTTACTTTTGAAATGAATAGTTTATTGATTATTCACTTAATCAGCAAGGAAAATACCTAATAACCTTGTGTGTGTTTAAATGTAGTGGACGGTGCCACGTTATTCACATCCTTCAGAAAGTAATCCTAACAAGTTTTCTCTATTTAATAAACTGGAGTATTAGACAGGATTTTAACCAAATTGCACATATCACAGCTGTAACTTTATCTGAGCGATCCTTCACTCACCGATTTCCTCTCTGTTTTGACTTCCTGTGTGTACCGCGTGAGGTCAGCGATGATCTGTGACGTCATGTTCTCTCCGATGACCTCATGCTGGCCGGCGTAATCGTTCAGCTCGTTTAGCGTCGAATAAAACGCACGGCACCATGTGTATCTAAAACAGGAAGTGACATCATCAATATAAGAAGTCAGGAATCTATCTTGACTGGTAAAATGTTGATCCATCTGGATTTACACCAAACAAATCTAATATCAAAATGTAAACGTACTTGTTCTCGTCTTCCTCTTTCTTCTTAGGCTGGTATTTCTTGGACAGGTTCCTGTACAAAATTAAAGAAAAGCAAATGACTGCATATGTTTGAAATACTGACATGCTTCTCATTCTAGTTCTACAAGTACTTCTATGAGGTTCACTACATCCAGGAATATTATACGATATACTGATATATTTTTTTTTAACTTTTTTAAATGTGCAATATACAATCAGTACATGCTGTGTGTATAACCATATCCCAAAATGTAGTGATCAACCTGACTTTTTATTTTCATTAAATGCACAAATCAACCATAAGTAACCAAAAGTAAAATAATCATTTTATTTCCAAGAAAATAAATGGAAATAATACAGATGAATCAATTAAAAGTATACATTGCTGAATAAATTATGCAACATAATCTAAATGTGCAGTAACACACTAATGTTTGAATTAAATACCATGTATACTGTTTCACATACTATAAAAATACATATTCAGTGTATCCTCTGCAGAATGTTAATAATCAGTCATTTGAAATGTTTATAGACCAATCAGAAAGCTCAATTAAGAATAGAGACCGATCAAAAACACTATATTAGTACTAACAACCAATCAACAAATTCAAATATGAACTTCAGAGAACTTTCTGTCTTTGACCTTTTGCATGTTTTTGAAATGAGTGTGAGGCTCAAGGCCAGTGTGTGGAAACTGTGACACAAATGCTGTGTTTCTTTGTAGCCTTTCTCGTCACAGCCAGATGTTATTCTCTTTGTGTTCTATTATCAGCATGTATAAATACTGAACGTCTGCCCGTCATCAGTGCCTCGAGGAGGGTGTGTGTGTGTGTGTGTATGTGCGTTCCATACTGCAACTTGCCGAAGGGTAAAATACACACACTAAAATAAACACACACTCACGCACACATGACTCCTCTTGTCCCCCATCAGCCCTTCTGTCACTGAGTGTCTTCTGCACATATTCTGTCTGTCTGTCTATCTATCTATCTATCTATCTATCTATCTATCTATCTATCTATCTATCTATACAGCAAAATCCCCAGTGTTTAATGATGATTGAGTATTATTGAAGACACCTGATGGTGTCACCTTTTCTATTTATTCATCTGGCTGTTATAACTCATGTACAGCAGCCAAACAAAAAAAAGTTAACGATTTAAGGGTCAAGAGCCCAACTAAAGTGAACACTGATCACCATAATGGTAACTTGAAATTATGGTTTTCTCCTTCATTGATTCTGCTTGTTAGTTGTCTTCAATAATGCTCAATTATCGCTCAATTATTTATTTAATTATATCATTAACTTTAACATTGCTTCAGTGTTCATTTAACACTGAAGTTTATATAATTCACACTTTCAGTTAATGTAATACTGGGGATTTTGCTGTGTATCTGTGTATCTATCTATCTATCTATCTATCTATCTATCTATCTATCTATCTATCTATCTATCTATCTGATAGTCTATATATCTCATAGTCATATTCATGTATTTTTATACCAATTGTGTTTCTCTACTGCGCAACATTACGTGCCACAGTCAGCAACACTGCAATTTCCCTCCCCGGAGAGACTTACTCTGTTCCTGTCCAATATTGACTATTATCTTGGCAAATTCTCTTTCTCTCTCCATGCTTGCTATACTATTTGTGCGCGTGTGTGTGTGTGTGTGTGTACATGCATGCATGTATGTTTATGAAAACTAGTGCTAGTTGATGTATGCATTACCATAAATATATATATCATGGGGGAGGGGAGGCAAAACTATGTTTTTTAGTTACCATTATGGAAATGCCATCAAAGCCAAATTTAAACACCCTGCTTTATAAATAAGAGATGCTCAAAAGAATCAAGGTATTGCCGCAGAACTTTATTTTGTACTTGATTAAAATGTATCAGTTTGTTCATTTCATCTCAATGTGCCCACAGAATGCAATTCAATCATGCAGTGTATTCGAGGTTATAAGTGCAGTTCATGACATCCAGTAACAGACTGGTGTGTGTGTGTGTGTGTGTGTGTGTGTTAGACGGCTGAACCCCTGCTGCGTCTGGGAATTAAAGGGGTTTCCCACTGTTATCAGGAGGGGGTTGATGTACAGTCAGTGTGTGTGTGGATGTGTGTCCTCCAGTGTCTGTGAGCTTTAAATCCTATCACTGGAATGGGGGGTGGGGTCGAGGCGCGTGATTGGCCCGTGTAAATGTAGGTCACCAACGAGGAAAACCATGCAGACACCTTGTTACCAGGGTAACCTGCATTTTCTTCCCAAATTTAAACACACACACACACACACACTGAGAAAATACAAATGTTGCCCTTCCTTCCTGTATCCTTGAGCTGTCAGCAGCAAGATCACATCTGTAATTAGTGTGTGTGTGTGTTTAGCTGTCTGGCCTTTATTTTCACACGAATACACTATAAAGTACAAGCAGCTGCACCTGTGTTCATTTGTATGGACACGACAGACGCTTTGCAGGGGTTACAGTGGGATTTTGGTTGTAGCCGAACCCTAAGATCTGGTGGTGATCCTGGTGCAATATGTGAGATGAGACTTGACCTCTGACCTATTAATCCCTTAAAAAGTTTTCCACCTAATTACCTATGTTAAAATAAAAATTTAAAAAAGCCTGATCAGACTTGTCTGTTTACTGATTTTAAATTGGTTTTCACCAGCTTGGAAAGACTGAGAGTCCAGATTAAACCAGCTCAAACCAGCAAACCAGCTTAAAATGGCATTATCTGTCTTTCTAAGCAGATATACATATCACTAGAAAGCTAAATAAATACACACATAAGCATATGTTGTTACGTTTATGAATATTTATGAGTGCGCCATGCCATTCTTTTGCATGTTTTGTTACATCTGCATGATAGAAGCATTGGTAACACTAAAATAAGGTTTCATTTGGTAGCCCTCAATCGGGTCATAGGGTCCGACCCCAATCAACTTTTACTTAACAAAAAAAAGGTTCCCTTCATCTGAGTGGAATAAGATTTTGTGACTTTTCATACATTATCTATCTATACACACACACACAAAAAAAAACTGGGCTTGATTCGGTTGTTCTGAAGGTATGTAAAAAAAACTGTTTACACTTCTGGTCTTCGGGGTCAATATGACCCCACATTGAAATGAATGGGAAATGTGAAAAAAACTAAATATATTTTCTTCATGTGTCAAAAAAAAAAAATCTGGCATAAATCTGAACATTTTTTCACAGAAATGAAGGCCTAGTCCTAGTGCATAAATGCAATGCATCATAAAAAAATAACATTTCACATGCTAATGCTAAAGCTAATGGTTTAAGTGAGGAATTGTGTGGTATATGGATACAAAAGTACTTTATATCTCCAAAAACACAGCATTAATGAATAGATGAGAAGTAAACAAAAAAAATGATATATTAGTTATAAAAAAGTATATTTTTTGTACAATAACTCAATCAATTGTTGGGGTCGTATAGACCCCGAAGCCCAGAAGTGTAAACAGGAAACGAAGATCAAACAATGAACAATATTTCTACAGCATTTAATAACATTTGTTAATGTTTTCAACATTTCATAATACGTTAAATCAAAGATGGTATCTGTTGACATTATTGCACTGTGAACTAATGTTACAGAAATATCCTATTCATATTTGTGTTGACTATGTTGTACTAATTCTTACTAATTTTGCAGTATAATATGCATTACGAATATAGGCAAATATCTAAGGTCAAATATATATATATATGTATATATAACTTTAAATCAGTGAGGTTAATGTAATACTCACCTGATCTGTCTTGCATAGTTAAGCTCGATCTCTGACCTTTCCTTCACAAATTTGGTGTATTTTTCCACAAAGTCGATTCCCCACTGTGTGTGCTTTTCCAGGTTATCAAACTGATCCTGAGAGAGACAGAGAAAGAAAAATATGTTAAAGTTGGCGCAAAAACACTGAAAACTGATGTTTCAACGCCTTGAATCAGTTGTTGAAATCAAAAAATGTTCCACACCAAAAAAGGTTCACCGAAAAGGCAGAACAACACATGTTTGATGACAGCAGCCAGTGCAAGGGGTCACAAGCAAAGGCGTCGCTCCACTGAGGTCAACGGGAAGTGGACAGGAAGAGCCCATCCTGAACCCACTAGACTTTAAACACGTGAAATCATCAACTTTAACTTTGGAACGCAGAAAAATGCATTTTTATTGGGAGATACGAGGGACGTGGCCACAGAAGACAGCATAATGGCTAACTTAGACCCCGTGTGCCTTGATAGCCAATCACATTACAGCATTGCCATCACTGAATTTCGTTCATAGTTGTGCGACAGTTATCACAGTTTGGGGTTTCGACATCACAGTTTGCGGATACCATAAATGAAGCAGATAAAGTGTGGTAAACTGAATCATACCTGTCACACAAACATGTTAAATATTAGACGATGGGATGTCTATTTAAATAATGATACGCCATTTTCACACAAAAGCCGTTTATTCAGCATAGCGAAGCCTCTCCTCCATTGACATCCATTCAAAAAAAGGCCTTCCCTGCTAACCTTGCCTTTAGGGATAGTTCACCCAAACATGAAGATGTTGTCATCAATGTTGTCATTCCAAACCTGTATGAGTTTCTTTCTTCTGTTGAACACAAAAGAAAATATTTTGAAGAATGTTGATGACCAGACATTTGACGGTAGCCATTGACATTGATTTTTTATTCTAACCAAATCAACTTTTTGGTTACCGACATTCTTCAAAATATCTTCTTTTGTGTTCAACAGAAGAAAGAAACTCATACAGGTTTGGAGCAACCTGAGGGTGAGGAAATGATGACAGAATTTTCATTTTTGGGTGAACTATCCCCTTCAGTGGCTTTGCTGCTTTGGCGAAACTACTATGCATGATCTCCTGCATTAGTATGTGTATGAATGGAAGTCAATGAAACAAAAAGAGTAGTGTGACTGCTAGGGATGTCATGGTGAGGAACACCGGTTAGTGAACTTGCGACAACACCAGTATTATTGATAACATCGGATGGGTGTCGGAGGTTTTGGGGGGGGATCACACATATTCTATGTCGGGAGTGGTGGTACTGAACGCAGATTTTTAAAATAAGATATTTTGTCAATGGCTAAATCACCCATCATCATCCTGTCAGTCATCTCTTGTCATGTGATCAGTGAAATCGGACTCTGTGATGCGATTCTGCGGTGTCATGGTGGGCAACTATTGTAATCGCTGTTCGGCCGAACACCATGTAACACCAGTACCATCGACTACCGCAGCAAGCCTCCTTGTGACCGCCCCTTAATACTGACTTGAAAGTGAGTACTACTGTGACAAAAATAATGAACTTTTTAATGAATGTTATAATTTTTGTTTTTTCACAAGTGATATTTCTAAAGTACTAAGTGCAAACTTACATAAGTGAAACTATTTTATGTACTTATGCAAATTATTGTACACATACATTGTGAAATGCATAATCAGTGTAATCACAATCAAAGTGTTTCTAGTTTGGATCATCTACTGCATGTTTGGGATGTTTCTGCAGTTTTCCTAACACAAAAACACAAGAAACCAGGTTTATAGACTGTACGGTCGAAATCTTGTGAATACTATAAGCGCTATTATGTTTCTGGGATACGTAATTAATATTAATAATAATGAAAAAAATGTTATCTAACCTTATCAAAGGCAGTGGCACATTACATCAGTGATGTTTAAGTTAATGGGCCTGAAAGTTTTCTTCTATGTGTCTTAATATGCTGTGGTCATCAACAGATGATATATTATGAAGGTATGATGACGAGGAGTTTGTGTCAAGTTTGATTTTTTTTCTTTGCAGATGATTTCCGGTAAAACCTCTTTGCAACACACACATACACACCACAGAAATTAGTACAAGATTCAGACGCAATCAAATTTTACACCTCAACTAAAACTGATCACTCATTTTGAGACGTGACAGGCTCAAGAGCCTGATGCATGCTAGGTTAAATATGACAGAAAATATTTAGACTTTATGTTAGGGTCCCTCTAAACTATTTCAGAATTCCTTTCAAATCACATCACAATGGAAAATAAAGGTTCCAATCAGAATACAAACTTGATGTCATAAAAGAGCCTGTTTAGGAACAATGACCTTCTAATTCTTAAGAAAATCCATGTAATGAAAACCCAGAAACCAAAACACTGATTTGAAGAACCTATAATGAAACAAAGAACTCAAGAAAGCAACTTAAGAATCCCACACATCCAAAATGTGTCTTGACAACCAAACATTGCTTTCCCAAACCTAAAAACCATTCAAAACCCCATTCTCAGCACAATGAAATCACATTACCAGAACTTAGACAGAAACTACGCTAAATAAAACCCCAAAGTGGTACAGCATTAACGCTTCAATCACCTTCGTTTGACTCCAGCATCCCCCCATTTTCTCTTCAACCATCTCGAAGTATGAAGAATTCACCAGATTTCCACTCACACACTCGAGAGCATGAGAGTTAGACTCAAAAGAACATTTCACTTTCTCCTTGCGAAAGAACTAGTTTAATTCATGTTCGTGCAAACCGTCCGCATGCATTCAGCCAGCAGACAGGATGAGCGCTCAAACCTTTGTGAGTGTGTTAGTGTGCACAGGATGTACATGTGGGTTATGATCTGGGTTTTTGCACTCCACATTAAAAATTTGGTCGATTATTTAAAGGTTCTAAACCCATATGAAGAAAGACATATTTTTTATATAATCTTTACATCGCTATTTTTAAATTACAGCAGTTGAAACCAAAAAACTGACTTAAAATGTATGTAATTGAATTATTAATTAGATTAGTTAAGGGATTAGATACAAATTGCTGATTCATCTAATGAAACAAGAAGTATTTGTGAGTGAGTCATTGAATCATGAATCATTGAATCATTCAGAGTCCCTACTGCCAGTGTGAATGCAACCAGGAAAATGGCCCAAGGGGAACATTTAGTTCTCAAGGGACCGCTAGTTCCTGTAACTCAGTTCCTATGACAACAAATGCCCCTAATGACTGAATTTTCATTTCTGGTGAGCTATTCCATTAAGGCTATTAAAACTAGCAATGGAAGAATAGAGCTAAGAAACACACACAGTGCCAAAGTCCCCTCTCAGCATCTGGGTAATCCAAATTACCTAATACGATTAGCCAGCCTCATTTAAACACAGATCACCTCCTCTTACACAACCCAGTCTTTAGTACACACTACAAAAGCGGCAGAACCCCAGCAGCTGAAAGGTTTAAAGAGAGCAAGACGAAAATCTGCAGTTTGATCGCATATAGACTTGTGGTTTTGATCAGTGAGTTGGCGTAGTATGCAATAAACGGATGTCTGGATGTCTAACATTTTCAGCAATGCAAAGTAAGACGTCTATGAGGTGCTCCAAGTGCAAGTCTATAGATCTGGGGCTATATGAAAGTTTATATCCGAATTCTTGACTTAAACGGATAGTTCACTTTGAAAATAATTTTTGATATGTTTTAGCTTACCTCAAGGGCATCCAAGATGTAGGTGTCTTTGTTTCCACAGTATTTTCAATTTTGATATTTTTAGGTCAAACCGTTCTTGTCTGTCAGTCATATAATGGAGGTCTATGGTCACCACCTCAAAGAGCATGCACAGAGAAGTCCAAATAAAACATGATTGAATGACTCGTAAATGTAAGTACGCATTGATGGCCTAAGACACGAAACGAGCGGTTTGTGTGAGAAAACGAACGATATTTATATTGAAAACGATATTTATATCGTTTTTACCTCTTGTAACCACAACCACGTACAAGTGATCTGAGCGCGCAAACGCCAGAAGTGATCTCTCGCGCAGTTGCCAAAAAAAATTCAACGTTGTCTGTTGATATATCGATATCGTCTTCCATTGCGATTTCTTGTATCTAAATATGTTTAGATCTTCACAGTGAAGGATAACACGTCTGAAATCTGTGACGTACACGCGCGAGAGATCACTCCCGGCGCTTGCGCAGACCAAAGCGCCCGCACCCTCAGATCACTTGGACGTTAAATCATGTTTAATTTGGTCTTCTCTGTGCATGCTCTTTGAGGTGGTGACCATAGACCTGCATTATATGACTGACAGACAAGAACGGTTTGGTCTAAAAATATAAAAATTTAAACTACTGCGGAAACAAAGACACCTACATCTTGGATGCCCTTGAGGTATGCTAAAACATATCAAAAATATTAAGATTTGAAAAAGCTCTATTTCCTAAGCAAAATGACCATGGATCCTAAACAGACAGGATAGGGTGTTTCTGTGATACTGACCCTGCTGTCTAAACTAGGCCATGTACAATCTATTTCTTTGAAGATGCACCCAAAATTGAAGAAGTGCTGTTAATGTGGGCAGCTTTTGAAACTCTCGAGAAATAAAAAAAAAAAACATCAAAACTTGACATCAGCTTGGGAAAGTCCCCACATGGAAAATTTACATATTTTTTTTACATCTAAAAATAGTTTTGGGCTAATATTAAAAGTGAAGGTTAGGGTTTGTAATGTATCAGTTTACATGTACAGATATTTATTAGCAGACACTTCTATCCAAAGAGACAACAACAAAAGGATTGAAACAGCAGATAGCTTAAGGTTGATATCACAGTTTTGACAGAGATACAGCTAGACACCACCATTAAACAACAAACCAAAAAATTTCACCGAGAAATACAATAAACACAACCACGAACTACAAAATTTGCAGACACTTCGAAATATATTTAGGTTCTAAAGCATTTCTTAATGCTAGCTTCAACATTTACTAATACATTATTAAAATCAAAGTATCTGTTAATATTATTTAATAGACATGAACTAATAACTACTTGTATTTTTATAACAAAGATTAACAAATAGGCTACTGTAACAAATGTATTGCTCATTGCATTAGCTAATGTAAACTAATAGGACCTTATTGTAAATAAAAAATACCCTTCCTCTTAAAACAGAACATAATATGATATTTGGTTATGCAATGCAGCACAAAACGATTAGCATTATTCATTTACCCTCTGAATCGACAACATATTAGTCCACATATTTCTGAATGATGGAGTGGCCCCCATCTCCACTGCGCTCAAGCCAGTTTCCACCAACTCCTAAAGTCAGAACTGAGCCAAAAACCAGTGTCAGACTGTCCACCTGCACAATCCTCCAGTCCGAGTTCGTCTGCCTGCTCCAGTGTGATAATGGTGGATTATAATCCAGATTCCTTCTTTATCCACAGATTAAACCCCTCAAACCAGCATAAAGCAGATATATTGCACATCTGGAGCCGATCCAATGAGCGTCTGGCCACCAGATTTACAGTAGTTCTACGACTTAATTCAAGTCCAGACGTTAGCAATGACCAAAGATGAATGCAACATACATCCTGGTGGCAAATTTCCTTTCATATTTACATCCTGGTTTTTAGCAGAACTTTCTATTTAAAGCAACATTCAAATTAGGAATAGGTCAACAACAAGCAGTCAAGCGTTTGGGGTGGCGCTACATAGAATTTAAGTTTTAGATTTTGTAAGCATTGAAACGTTTTCTAAACATTCCACTTGGGTTGTGCACATGTTAAAATCTTAGTTTTTTTTGTTTGTTTGTTTTTAATCTGTCATGGTGGTTTCATGTCTCATGTCTTCCCTGTCTTTTCATGTCAGCTGTTCCCTGTTTTGTTGATTAGTCTCTCCAGGTGTTTCTGATTAGCCACGCCCCCTTTTTACCTTGTTTAGCTTGTTTGTCAGTGAATTTATACCTCTGTTCTCCAGTTGTTGTTTGTCGGTCGTTGTTTTGTGTAGCTGTTTCTTGCCCCTGCTTTGAGTTTGTGTCCTGAGTTCTTGTTCTGTTCGTTTGCCTTGGATTACCTGTTTGTTTGTTTGTTTGTTTATTTAATTAAAGTGTTTGCATTTGGATCCTGCTTCCTCCTTCTCTACTGTGGCGTAAGTTACATAAACATACCACAATGTTCCTAAAACCGCAAACATACGGATCAAACATTTTAACATTGGAACGTTGATTTGTAATGGTCCAATTCCAAATTGTGTCGTTTAATGTATAGAACTACAGTTTCGTAAACTACATTAACAAAGATGTTATTTTATTGTAGTGAAAATCTATAAAACACTAATATATAATAATAATAATAATATAGTTTTGGATGCTAAATCGTAGATAAAGAAGTATTTTATACATTTTCAAGTTCTCGCAACATTCTGTGTGCTACATTTTACAAGTGTAATGTTTTTTTAACAAATTTTTAATGTTATATTGGCAAGTGTAAAAATTCCATGTTTACAAGTATGTTCTTTTAACAAGGCACTTAAAAAATTGTGGCTCATTAAAACATGTAGAAAGAATTTCAATGTAAACTATAAATAATTGCATGGAATTTAATGTGGCAATTTAAAGGGTCACTCACTCCACCCATTTGCATTAAGCTTTCCATTGTTAGAAACCCAGTTATACTATTGAATGGTCGTGCAACACTCTCTCATTTTCCCCTGAGATGAGAGAAATACGCTATTTACCTTTTTCACTTCCTCCTACAATGACGCAAAAATCGTCATTTTACGTCATTGTAGGAGGAAGTGTAAGATGGAGGGTTTTCTGTAAAAACTACAAGCACTAGATCCCACCCTTTCAAACCCGCCCATAGGGGTTTGGGCCTAATGCGCTAACAGACCAATCACAGATCTGTGCCAGTGCGCCTGATTTCACCAGCAGAAACGTGTTGAAAATATGGACGGAGGTACTGAATATGCAGACGGATGCATTATGGAGGATTGGGATTACACATAGGCCGTGTGTCCACCAAAGCGCCTGGCGTATGTTTTTAATTGTTTTTAATTGTTTTCAATGGGAGCGCCGCGTTTTTTAAACGCCGTGAGCGTACCGAGGCGCAGAGCGTTCTTTTTCACGCTGAAGCGCCGACCGCCCAGCGTTTTTACTGGTCGCTGGGAGTTGAAAAATGTTCAACTTTGGATAAAACGCAGCGCTCATCACTGTCACATTTTACCCAGCCGTCCAATCACAATGGAGGAGGGGCGGGACCAAACCACACCAACCAACTGTCACAACATTCAAACTGCTGCATATATTCCGTATCATAGCAATGAAACGTCTCAACAGAAAAACCGCTGCGCTGCCAAAGCGCTCTCAAGTGCCCAAAGCACGGCGTCTTAAGCAGAGCGTCTAGCGTTTTCAGCTGGATAAAAACGCTTTGGTGGACCCACGGCCATAGTGTCAGCCATCTTTTTTGGTAGCTAAGCTAGCAGGCTCTTGTTCTGTGGAGAAAGCCGAGTAGTAACTTCAGGGGTTACAGTCCTCTTTTTCCCAGACATTTCTGGCCGTCGATGTCCGGGATTCAGCTTTTGCATTCTGTAGTCGCCATTCATTGTTTACATGCACACCTTTTGTTTCAATCTAACTGAATTCATTCTGATTGGTGAATCTGAATGTAGTGTTTACATGAACACTAAACAAGTGATCGGTTGATGTGCATTTTAACATTGCTAAGAAAATTCCCGCACCTTCGTGAGAGACACGAGACCAGTAACTTGCGTCTCACAGCTGTCGCTCATCGGAACTCATGCCACCGGCCTCGTGCTGTTCTCCCGCGGCCCTCACTCGTCCTGCTCACCACAATAAACATAATGAATGGCGACTGTACAACGCAAAAGCCGAATCCCGGACGTTTTGGACGATCTCGAAACCCATTTTTTGGCAGACTTACTCATCACGGAGACTCACTAGTAGCCTAGACTTGTTGTTTACCTACTGCGCTCTGTTACCGGTAGGCGTGGCCTCCTAGGGTAGCGAAGCAAGTGCATTCTGGGAGTTGTTGTCTTTCATCCACAAAAACCAAAAGTACATTTTCTGGCTTTTCTCAGTCTAGAAAGCTCCAAATTCCAAAATAATTTCACATTTCTTCTACATAAATGACCCATTTTAAATACACATTCATCTTTCCAGAGGTGGAGTGACCCTTTAAGATTGTATATAAGTGACAACAATACTTTAACTCTTTCCCCAATTTTAATCTCCCTTCAATCCATATTTGCACTGTAGTCTGTTAGGGGGTGCTATAACGCATCATCTGAAAGAGTATAGATCGAATATCTGGATCCAAAAACAAGCAGAAACAAGGGATGAAAACATTGCTCACTTATGCTCGTGTAAAATAACACAATCGCCAAACATTAAACAGCATTTAAATCAAAACTGCCTAATGTTAGTGAATGAAATGTTGACCCATGCAGATGTACTGGACTGTTTAAGCTCTGGGGGTGTTGGTGGACTCAAACTACTCCGTCTATGCTTTGGTCTTCGTTCTGAATCCGATATTGACACAGTCTTAGAGAAAAAAATCGATTCTCTCAAAATGTAGCTTTTTTATGAAACTTACCCACATTTAAAAAAAAATGCATGAAGCTTGAATAAAATGGGGGAAGCTTTGTTAAAATTATCAGAAATATTGGAGCTGGCTAATAAGTTTTAAAGAAAAAGAAATAAATATATGGAAATGCTGGCATTGCAAGGAAAGAGTTAACCAACAATTTACACTGAAATTTGTTCTGCTTGTTTAATGAATTGGACCCAATTTGCAAAAACCGAATCTAATGAACATGTTCCAAGCAATTTGAGAACATTTATGAAAATACTATTAGCATTATATGGAACGTTTGTTCACAACATTTACACATGAAGTTCTGCATTAGTTGGAGAAGGAACATTCAGTCATTATGTCTGTTATACGTCTGTTATGGTGTGGATTAATGAGGGTCACGAAGGGTCGCCAACTGACCCAGGACAGATCGCAGAGCACCTGCATCCGCTGTGAACGAGTCTACTGGATGGAAACGAGGGATCAGGGAGAGGTTTAGCACACACACATACACTCGGCTGTAGGCGTCTGACTCTGCGCACGTGTAAAAATTAAAGCCGTGCCAGGTGGTGACTGAGCAACTGGAGGGAAATATGGAGAGAATGACTCAGAGAGAGGGAAAGAAAGGAATTTAAAAGACGTCTGATATTCAATACAAAGAAACACAAGCACACTTTCATGCTTGAACATACCTGGAAGGTTAGTTGTCATAATTTACTTACAGAATTTTCATTTTAAGCTGCACTACACACACTTATAATCAACGTGATGATGTCATCGTGGATTCTGAATCAAAAAATGAGGTCATACTCTATATATGGAAGAGAAATAAAATGTTTCATTATAATTATTCTCGAGTGCATGGTAGAATGCTGCAATTCAGCTTGAAATAAAACACACACAGCTGCACAAGAACACAAGCATGAGAAGAGCTGTATGGCGTGTATTTCATCATCCAGAAACACATGCACACACGCCTCCTCTCTCACTATAAATAGGCATTGCGTGCTCTGATGGGAAACAGAGAAAGCCTAGAGTTCACTCGTCTCTCATGAACTCATTAAATCCAAAAAATCAGAAGAGCAGAGCAGTAGTCGGACACTGAGATCATGTCTGTAAAATACAGTAGGGTCTGACAACCATCACTATTACTGGTGCTCATACTGAGCGTTCGAGATTTACATTTACATCTTCTTGGTGCAAACTGTACATTTTTACATGTCATATTCTCTCAGCGTTTCTAAAATAAGTAAATGTGTTTTTAATTTACCCTCCTGCTATGAACTCGGCAAGCTCTCAACATGATTCACTCACGATCCTTGTGAAATCTGGCCTTAGTTTAGCCTCAGGACGAGATTCATCAGGCTTCTGCTTTGTTACTTTGGGACAGTCCAATTAACCACAACGCTAATGAAGAACACCACTCATTTATACACATTACAGGGAGCTGAAAATATCACTGATGGAGACTTTCTGAACATTAATGTCATTTAAAACGGAACTAGAATGCAAACCTGAACACATCTGGAGGTGAATATCCAAATCTACTGACCTCAGATCAGTTCGCTGCTTAGTCATGGTGGAACATGGTTAATAAGAAACAGGGTGATCTGATCACAGGACAGTATTTCTTACAATATATAACGTAAGACCATTACATTTATCATATTTATTTACATAATGTTTTTTTTTTTTTTTGGCTCATTTGAGAATAAAACGTTTTAATGAACAACATCTTATCTATGCCATAATTTGATTGAGATGTAGACATGCACATGTTTACATACACAAATAGATGCTACTGAGACAGATATAAGCGCTAATAAACCAGCCAACACTCTTTTGTGTGTGTAGGGAATTAGGCAGTGTATGCCAAACACAAACAGTGTCAGATCATAAGTGTATGTGGTTAACACAGGACAAATACCAAATGAGATTCTTGAAGGTCACTGGGGATGCTACACTTCGGGTCAT